GACAGATCCAAAGCAGCAGGCCCAGCATCAGGTGATGGTGGTGGTTGTAACGAGGCAACGCCAACATCACACAGATGTGGCGGATCATTGACATCCAATGAAGCTGCAGCCTCTGAATGGGCCTCCTCCACTCTCTGTCTGGCTTTGCGACGGGCATAACGCTCCACTACCTGCTCCTCACTCGCCTTCCTTTTGCCAGGACCAGGCAAATTCTTCGAAGGAACCCAATCTGGGTTTGTTTTGTCCCAGAGTTCAGAAGGGCGGCCGGAAATGAAATGATCGCTGCAAACACGAGCATCATCCAATGTCTTCCCAACTAGGTCTGCTCTGGCTATCGCTGCAATCCACAGCCGTCGCCTCTCCTTGACCAGTTCGATGTCAGCACTTTTCGTTTTCGAGTTCACATTGGGAAGAGAAAACCTCTTGATTTTATCTCGACCCGTCCGCTTCGTACAGCGGGCAATAGAACATATACCCATCACCACAATGGACACAGACTACAGAAATGCAAAAAGCGGACTGCTTGGCAAGGAACAAGCGCAAGAAGAAGGGGAAGAAAACTCTAATATCAATTTGAAAACAATTTATTATAATCGAGGATGGGACATGTCCCAAGTTGCTTCCAACCTAGCACGGGTCCCTGACGTCATGATAATGATGACATAATGCGTACGCTGTGCAAAGGGTCTATTTAGAAAAGCGATCCTGTCAGCTTTTCTATTATTGTGTTCACATGGCAGAAAAAACGACACCGCTATGCTACGTAAGTTTCTACGTAAGGTGCTCGGTATTAGATCTACCAACGGGTGGTAGCCGCGTGCTGTGCACGTGCACGGCAGACATTGTGTTGCATGCCGTGCATGCAGTCCGTTTTCGGATGTGCATGCGCGAGGAACTTCCTTCTTTGGAACTGCTTCTTGCATGAGCTGTTTCGGATATTTCGTGTCCTGGCTTATTTCGCTTCGGCTCTGCTGAGACCTCTTTTCACGGAATATTACTCAATGACAGGTGAGTTGACCAGTTCCCTTTGATTCATTTGCTTGTGTTGACTCTTTCATTTACGAAAAGTGTGCTGATTTTAGGTGGAATACAATAAAATAATAATGGAAAAGCTGACAGGATCTCTTTTCTAAATTTAGCTTTTCTGCTGTCGAGGCCTCCTTTTACGGAATACTCAATGACAGGTGATCTCTGAGTTGACCAGTTTCCTTCAAATCATTTGCTTATGCTCACCCTTTCATTTACGGAAACGTGTGCTGATTTTATTCGGATTTAATAGATCCATTCGTATCTCTTTGCACTTGCCAACAGTGTGCGAAGAACGCGAGTTCACCTTCTTGACGGTAAGGCTTAGATGTGTTGTCGAAATACATGTACTCATGTTCATTGTACATTGGTACGTTACAAGTAAGGCACTGGTCATGATTGCTTCCGGGATTCCGTGCTCCGATCATGGGGTAGAATCTGAATTTTGCAGTGGCATAGCATCGTTGGCAGTTCCCAATCTGGAGGCGAAGGTTCAAGGACGCATTGGCCGAGTACTAACGTTTATAATAGTATGCAAAATAAATTCGCATATCAGGGAAAATCTCCATTATGGAGAGGTTCATGCATTCAGTGACTTGTTTGCTTCATACGAAACAAGCCAATGGGTGCAGTCGTGAAAATCTCGTACGATTGGATTTGTTTACTCGAGTCTGGGCTGTTTGATTTGTGAGTACCGCCGAGATTGCACTGCCCCAAATAAAGTTGCGTGCCGGTAGAGCAAGAATTACGATCTGCAATCTGTTTGTTGTACCTGCAAGAATGTGCTGTACATGTATCGTATTTTCTCTGTTGTTGTTTCAGTTGCCGTCATGTTGCTAAAGAAAGGTTCAGTGACTCATTTGTTTCATAAAAGACGAGTCAATGGTTTGGTCTGGCTTAGAATCTTTCGCTGTAGAAGAAATCTATTCGTGTCGCTATTGCAGTATTGGAGAAATAATTGTATTCACTCGTTATAAAAATAGGGTTAAGACAAACTCACAGAGCAAATGCCATCGGTCCCTTGATGTTCGTCCTAAAGAGGTTTGACTGGATATCATTCATACTCCCCCAAAGTCGTGTAACATGTTATTATTATGGAGTGCCTTGTTTATCTCTCAGTACCTCCAACCATATATCCTTGCCCCTTATATCCTCAGGATCAGTGTAGTTGTTGGAACGAGGTGTCGGACTCAGCAATGTATTTGTTTACATTTTAATACATGTTTATTGTTCCTACTTTGCTGTGTTGTTTTAGATAATCGTGGACTTGTAACACTTTGAAGTCATTGAACTGCTTCCAAAAGTTTTACCGACATCAACAGGATTACGATTTCACTACAATATGATGCCGGATGACCTTATCACGACAACCCATGACTACAATTATAAACACAGAATCAACAAAAACATCTGCGGCACGCACCTGGTTACAATTCTCATGCAAATGTGATTTAGGGTGTGGACATCTGAATTTTCTGAAACACAAGACAATTTTATGACAGAGTCATGGAATTCTGCAACATCCACAGAATGACCTGCGTATAAAAAAAAGTATCACCGCCACTACTCATATGATTCCCCTGCAGAAGAACATGAATACATGTATGCAAGACTAGTTCCATTTTCTGCAAGAAAAGGCTTGCACATCAATGCAAATTGATATGATACACGTACATGTACATAGCCATAGGGGCTCCCGTAAGAAGACCATAGGTCTGTGCGAAACACCCTAGTAAAATAAAATAATAATAATAATAACATGTAGAGTCGCTACATTTAGGCCATCATTTAGGGCATTCCATTGGTGACACAATTATAGGTTCTGATCGGTGGAATATGCTGCCTTCCACTGTTCGCTCTTGTACAGATTATCGCCCATTTGTTCGTTCATGCTTAACCTTTCTAGGGGCTCCCGTAAGAAGACCATAGGTCTGTGGGAAACACCCTAGTAAAATAAATAAAATAAAAATAATACCGGTAATATCCTTTAGCCAAAAAACAAAAGAAATTATAGCAATAAAAACTGCTTTATGGCAGTTTTCTAAAAAAGGTTATTGTGTTCTAGTCCATGGACCCCGTCTAAAAAGTAAGAAATTAACGAAATGTGATAGCCGAAAATTAAAATTTCACACAAAACCTCACAATAATCACACACAGGATGCGAGACGACCTTTTCCCCTCGTGGTCCTCTTTCACATGCAAGCATGTTGGCGCAGTACATGTACTTGTACAAGTACAAGTGTCGGAATAAACAAGTGTTGAAAGCCGTACTATTAGATCTTCAAGTGTCGTGATTATTGTGAGGTTTTGTGTGAAATTTTAATTTTCGGCTATCACATTTCGTTAATTTCTTACTTTTTAGACGGGGTCCATGGACTAGAACACAATAACCTTTTTTAGAAAACTGCCATAAAGCAGTTTTTATTGCTATAATTCATTGTGTTATTACCTGATGATGACCAAGTGCCGAAACGTTGTAAATAGTCCGGAATCCGGATTCTGAGAAATCAATTTTTCGCAGTAGGTGTGCCACTTTGGAAGGAGGATTTGGGCATGGTCCAGTTAGATAGGGAAGGGGTTTGGTAGCATGGATTCACTTGTCGGACTCCTGAACGCTGTGCCATAAGCTTGCTACGAGGGGGTCAGTGGCGTGCACCGAGTCTTGAAAGGGGGGTTTCTAGAGTTGGTAATTTTTTTCTTGAGACCCACTGTATAAGTATGTATTTGTGCACATGCGCATCCCCCGAACATCCCGTCGGAGATAACGGCGAGGGCTAGGGAGGAGACTGGGGGGGGGGGGGGGGGGGGGACTCAAGATCAGAGGTGCAGGGCACCAATGAACACTGGTGCTGATGAGATGCAGGGCTCGTCCGACTGCTATCATCAGATCATGCCGGCACAAACGCGTCTGAGAGGGCACCAGGTACAGGGGTAGAAAGGACAGAAATAAGAGTATTATGAGGAATGGAGGGCTAGGGAGGGGACGGTGTTACATGGAAATGTTGGCAGATCTACATGTACATGTATAACCTGTAGCAGGAAAAAACGGGCACGGGTTACCTTTTACATACCAGCACTTCAAAAAGTATTTGCAAAGACGGTGCAAATTTAAAATGTACTCATGTGCACTGTACATGTTTGTCATATTGAACCCGTAAAAGTTTGATAGGCCTAGGCGCCCAGGCTACATGTATACACTACAGTCTATACGTATAACACAAATTCAATGTCTATGGTACTTCACGAAATCGAATCCACTCCATGCAGGCATGTTTGTTTCATCAAAACACTGCTTACATTCAACGTATCTTTCTTTCTGTTCTTATGACGACGTTTTCGGCATGTATTGGCAATGTCCCACATGATTTCAAGAGTTATGGACCTTGCTTCGATGGAAGCTCGCGGGAGAAAAGCGAAGCCCCGAGCCCTTGAGTCGCGGCCGGAGCTGCGCTTCGTTCTGAAGCAGCGCAAGTGGATCATGGACGCACATTTTTACGTCTTCCAGTCGACAACGTTTTTGACGAACATCTCTGCTGCGCACATGAGCGAAAACGAAAGGCTGTCATCTTGATTTGAGCCAACAGTTTGGAAGGAGATATCGTCAATCATATCCTTGAACTGACTTGCATCGCGCGTGCTTGACTCAAATTTCGAGACAAAACGGATTTCTTGAACGTCATCGCCAATCCAGGAGCGAACCAGAGCTAGAGATCGATCTCTCTGTGGCTACTCTCCACTGAAGAAAGAGAGAATATTGTATTTCGAACTGCATGCAAAGCTACTCTCTCTCACTTCGAAATAAGGACATAGTCACTGTACTGTAAACTGCCCGTCGATCGACGCGTATGCAGGATAACCAATCCAGTACGAGCGTAGGCACGCTTTTCCTTTGGCAAGATTGCCCGAAAAAAGGTGGTTTCCAGACACCAAAAAACTCATACGGTGCACGCGCCTGGGGGTTTTCATGGCAATTTCTCCTCGCCGATTTCAAGATCTTCGTGCACCTGAGCATTGATTGGGCACGCTCACATGAAGCATTTTACGCGCAGTGAGGGAAATGCATCAGTACAGTACAGTATTTTTGAATTATTTCAAAAAGTTGTCAACACTAGTAATAGCACTCGACTCGAGTGAAGGATTACTTATTAGTGGTGTCGAGTCTGAAGCCCGAGCCAATGCTGTAGTTGCTGAAGCCCCATCCTATGGAATACTACCCACTCCCCGGCACAAGGTGAGCCAGTATTTTGTCTTGAATCACGAACTTGAAAAATATATTTCGTTTGATATCAATATTCAATGTTCAATAACAATGCACTTCTGTGTTGGTACACTGATTCTGGTATCCAATGAAAAGAACAAAATAACTTGTCAGTATGTGTCCTCGCTGCATCTCTCTCAAGAAATATTCGTTCAGTTCATCACTAGAATAATTGTCAGTAGATAATTATTATCAGTACATGATGATATGTTGCAATGATGCGCACATCCAGGTAAAATGTTTTAAAATAGATCATCATGTACTGATAATTAATCTACTGACAATTATTCTAGTGATGAACTGAAAGAATATTTCAAAAAAGTAATACAATAGTATCTCACACATACAACTGCCCACACACGCTCTCTAGGCTGCAAAGTTCTGGCACAGAGCTCTCCTTCTCACCACCACCATCAGTTCGCGCCTGGCGCCTGGTCGGTGCATGGCTGGCGGTATCCGGCATAGCAGGCTGGTACATCAAGTAGCGCATGGCACATAGATGATGACACAGCAACGACATAGCTCGATTGCGACGTACGTTTCGTCCCCGCTGGACTCATCAGGCAATCTTCTTCTTGGATGTCTTCATACGGAGCTTGACTCGGGAGAATGAAGTTGAAGACACTGCAGCTGTACTTATGGTTGATAAATATGGTGGTAAAGACACACCTGGCAGCATGGCGGTAAACACACGCCTGCCCACACACTGTGTCATCATCTATGTGCCATGCGCTACTTGATGTACCAGCCTGCTATGCCGGATACCGCCAGCCATGCATCGACCAGGCGCGAACTGATGGTGGTGGTGAGAAGGAGAGCTCTGTGCCAGAACTTTGCAGCCTAGAGAGCGTGTGTGGGCAGGCGTGTGTTTACCGCCATGCTGCCAGGTGTGTCTTTACCACCATATTTATCAACCATAAGTACAGCTGCAGTGTCTTCAACTTCATTCACACATACAATGTTTATCAATATACAAAAGGAATATGCTGCAATGATTCGCGCATCCTGGTAAAATAGTTAAAAAGTAGTACAATTCTACACTGTATATTACACAAACTGTTTCTCAATGTATATGATGATATGCTGCAATGATGCCGTGCACGTGCGCACATCCAGCCCACAGTGTCTGTGTAGCACTGGCCGTGCATGGAAAAACGGTCGTAGGTGGTCGGTAAAACGAGAGGTCGCTTACACCAGGTTTTACTGTAGCACAATAGTACACACAATGTTTATCCACATACAAAATCTAGGAATATCTGGGAATATTGCCACATGGCATGTATGTTAGTTGTAGGGCCTTGCTGTCACTGTTAGTTTTCTAACTTGATTCATTCTTGTATGTCTAATTTCTCCCTTTACAATATGGCAGCTGCGCAGGGAATTCAAACTGACGCACAGTCACTATCAACGTTATCATTGCTGAGATCATCACTCGTACACGCAGCTGATCCATCACTATCGGACACACATGAGTCGTCGCAATCTGAGTTTGGCTGGGCATGATTGGACTCAGTTTCCAGTTGCGATATGTCAACGGACGTACTTTGCTGTGGTGGTTGCTCTGGCCTACTGGTGAGCGGATTTGCGCATGCAGTTTCGCAGCGGCAGATGTCAGTGCACGCAAGAGATGACTTCTTGCATGAGCAGCGTTGAGTGTCACACACTCCTCGGCACCCGCAGCTGATGAGGCTCTGAAGTTCTTTGCAACTGCCTGCTGTTCCGTCCAATTCACAGCGACTTTGCCTGAGGGAAGAAACAAACATTGTCACAGACAGTTAATTTATTCCTCGCGTATATTTGTGCAGTAGACAGTCAACGCTTCCGGCTGGTTGACCGTGCTTCCTCTCAAGCAGGAAGGTTATGACATGTCGGCGGTCCAGTTCCGCGATCAGTTGGCCATTCGCTATGGCCAGGAGCCGAACGCTCTCCCGTCGCATTGCGATGGCTGTGGAGCTGCTTTCTCTCTACAGCATGGTCTGGATTGCATGAAGGGTGGGCTCATCAAGCGCGGGCACAACGATGTCCGCGACTTCGATGCCCGGCTGGCAGACGTTGCATGGGGAGGTGTGGCTGTCGAGCCGGTGATGGTACCTGTGCAGGATGGCAACAACCGCCCCACACTGCAGGCGGATTGGCTGGTCCGGGGAGTTTGGGAAGGAGACAGGGTGGCGTACTTTGACAACCGCATCGTGGATGCCGACGCACCCAGCTACGTCCGCTCGAACCTCTCTTGGAACGCCGTATCCAACAGTGCTGCCTCTTCCAAGAAGAGAAAGTACAAGGCGGCCGCAGAGGAGCTGCGAGCATCCTTCACCCCGCTGGTCTGCTCAACTGATGGTGCACTGCACACAGAGTACCGTGCGTATCAACGGCGACTTGCTATGCGCCTTGCCTCCAGGTGGGACAAGTCCTACAGCAACGTCATGTCCTGGGTGCGGATCCACCATCAGTTTGCTGTTTTCCGGGCTGTCGACCTTCGTCTCCGGGGTTCACGTCGTCGTCTCGGTGGGCTGGCAATTTGCGATGGTGTCGGCCTTGGCGTTGGCCGTTAACATTCATGCGTATGGCACTTGTTGTTGTTGTGTGTGTGTGTGTGTGTGTTTGTTTTCTTTCCTTTTCTTTTCAGCTATCATTTGCCCTGATCATGCCTCATGCGTGTTTCACAGCATAGTACGTTTCCGCTCATTTTCTTCTTCAACATACGCTAGCTGTATTACTTTGTTCTTGCCCGTACAAGAGGCTTTTCCACCCGTAGACAGTCATAGATATCTGGTTAAATGGGAAGGGCAGCACTGTATCCTTTATCCTTTTATCTGCTAATTACAATTCTTTCAACCTTGCAGTATGTTTCTCAATATCCGCAGACTCCACTGTAGCCTTTGTAGACGCGTACCATACCATAACAATTACACAAGTGTAAATTTCCTCATGCATAACTTGATCCAAAGTTGGGTACATTACCGGTGCTAATTATTTATCGGAACAACTTACCGTCGCTGTCTTGAATCCATCCTCTGCCGATGGGCGTAGGCACATCGGGCTTCGGTTGCAAAGCCAGTCGCCACACAGTAGCCTGGTAATTAGCGCGTGCTGTGTGGACATTATGTAGCTCTAACACATCTCCAGTGCGTAAGCAAACAGCCTTCCAGCTTGGAAGGTTCCAGAACCTTGAACCTTCCAAGCAGGAAGGTCCAATCAGTGGCCAGAGCCAGTACTACTACCAGGTAGTATCATCAGGCGATGTTTTATGGCTCTACCATCAGGGGAAATGGAAAGAGGAAGGCACACGGGAGAGACTTATCTGGAGCTGAATGACCTGAACTACTTTCGGAAAGGACAGCGACGAACGAAAAACCAGGACGTTGCATAGAAGCAAGTAATTCCTTCAAAGAAATCCACGCCGAGCATCGCCTTTTGAAAAGTTTTTGAATTGTGGCGTCGTTTTCTTCTTCCTTTCCTAGTCAGAGGTGTTTCACATTTTTGCGCGCGCTCTCTTTTCTCTCAATGGTTGCATTCATGATTTTTCGCCCAGTGAGCCAAAAATATTACGATATCTCCTGCCTGAAATTGTCGATTTGTCGTCGGATATATTCCCTTCTCCTGAGGCTATGGCACAGCTTTGAGATGTCCGACAACTTCAGGCATACTCACTGTTAGGTACTTGAAGGGTTGGCGAAGAGTTTTTGTGCTCCCTACGAAGTGGTACCCAAATTTTCGATTTCGAGATCGGGATCCCGGACTAAAAATAACGGAACTGGTTCGGATGTGATATGTAGCGCTATGGCCCATGGCCATGGGTGTGTCCACCCGAATTCTTTTCATAAATAAATATAAAAGTTACTTTTGTGATTTTCTACACAAAATCTACGCAATCAACCACTCGCGCGATCGCACGCGCATCGCGCTGGGCCATATCATGCATGATGGGGATGGGATCAGGGAGTCGTCAAGTATTTGACGACTCCCTGGATGGGATATAGCTAGCTCCGGGTTGTGAAAATAATTAATTAATAATAATTATTATTATCATGATTGTGTCCTCACGATCTTATGATTTTGCTTGTTTATCAAACGCGACAGTTAAGCAAGGTTATCAGCCATTCTTTCTTCTTATAGTTTATACCATAGTTGTTATGGTTGACGCGCTAGTCTCATTGTAGAAGTAGAGTGTACACTACATCTGTGGGTAGTCTGGCAGCAGAAACGGAAAAAAAACTGACTTGAACATTTGAAAGAGATCTGGCTGCCCTGCCTTGGAAGGAAGGCTTCTTGTAGATAATCATGGCTATGATGCAGCAGCTCCTTGAGGACGCCAGAAGTCTTTCGGCACATTTCAAGGCACAGGAGAGAGCTGTCGATAGCCTCTTGTCTCAGGCATCTTCCTTGAAAAACAGCATCAACGAATTCAAACAGGTAGGTAGGTTTTGATTGCCTAGCGGTGCTGCAATATCAAGTCCATTTTCCTATCTACACGTGGCGTTAACTGACGTACTAAGGTTGATATGTGAAGGCGTGATGATTGAGAGCTTCAATATCATGCTGTGCTTGTCTGTGTGTTGAGAGGTTTTACTGCTAAGCCTAGGCTATCTTAGCCAAGACCATCTAAACATATCTAACCACCTGCAGTCATACGTCCATCGGTGAAAGGTATAATAGGGTATTCACACGACAGGCACTTGCACGTTTTACAGGGATTGACATACGAGAAAAGTGACTGTGTAGATTCACACAGCTGCACTTGACGACAGGCACGTTTGCATTTTTGAATGCTTCACCGACCAGTAGCCATGGGTATTTCAAATTTTCAAAACACACATACTATAATTATCATGCACTAAAGAGCCGCGTAAAAAATCAAGTCTTGTTTCGCGCTTTTTGATGTAAATGTACTCGTGCACGCCACAATTATCGTGAAAGTGGGCCCCCAGCTCGCTTGCACTTTTCAGCCACTTTTCTCGTTCACAGGTAAAATACCATAGCAACTTTCCGGTGCACGTGGATTTGCCTGTCGTGTGAATACCCTATAAGAAAGATGATACCGTAAACATGAGAAAAAGGAAATAAGCGAAGCCACCCACCAGTGCACCCCCGCCCACATCATGGACATTTCTGGCAAGGAATGGTCTGCAGTGAGGTCTTCCACAGTCTTGTTTTGTGTGCATGCGTATAGCACTGTACGCGCCATAAGATGCCACCGTTGTCCATCCTGCACGTGTACAACAAACACATGTGCTCTTTTTTTTCGGTACCGTATTTTGGCTGCAGTATCGTCAAGAGGTGGACGATCTAAATACCAGCGCTGGCAGGAGGCCGAAGATGGTGCTTGCTCACGGCGCAGCGCACGAGAGCACACGAGTTCAGTCATTGGAGCAGGAGAACTCCGATCTGCGGACATCTGTGATGGCGTACCAGCAAGCCATGAAGATTGTTATGACCAAGTTCAAAGAGCAGGTTTGTGATTTGACCGTATCCTCTCCCCCCCCCCGAACGCAGCTCACCAGATCAAGCTGGTGGCTGCTGGTCCGTAGCCAAGGGCTATGGCATCAGAATGTGTGCTGGGGAGAAAATGCCTTGTTTGTTTGGCACCAGTTTTTTGGTTGCTAGCTGTCTCAATGATCTGTATGTTGAATTGTTGATGGCACACTTTGTAGTCCTGCTATACAATCGTGTTTACCGTGCTTGCTTGAAAATGTCTGCTGGAGTTGTGTTTTGAATGTGTGTGCCAAGTCATCATGACGACGGTTTCCCCTCGATTTTCTTGTGTCCTGTACTTTCCTCGCGTATTGTTCTATTGGTGCAGAGGGAGGGGCTGGTGGCGGCGAACCGGCAAGATCGCAAGATTCACTCGCAGCATGATCGCTCTCAGGTGAGAAGAGTTGCAAAATAGGCTGCCGTGTCGTCTGATCAGTAGATAGGTAGCACCAAGAGTGCATAACCAGGTTATGTACTCTTGGTAGCACGCTTTTCTATGGTTTGTGGCAATTATGTGGCTGCACGACTGCTTGACCTCTCTTCTCACAATGGTCTTCTCTTGTGCAACACGTAACCACTCTGCCCTTCAGGAGATCAAGCAGCGAAACTGGCACATAAAGCTCATGGCAGGTGTCATTGAAGAATCTATAAATGTGGACAACAAGGCGGAAGCTAACAAAGAAAAGCGTTTCCAGCAACTGCAGAATGAGATCAAGGCTATGAAACAGCTACTGGAAGATTCAGTTGATTCTGAAAATCTGGAAGAAGAGGTAAGACTGTACCTTCTCTTTGGTTTCTGCTTCTGTGTGTGTGTGTGTGTGTGTGTGTGTGTGTGTGTCTCTCTCTCTCTCTCTCTCTCTCTCTCTCTCTCTCTCTCTCTCTCTCTCTCTCTCTCTCTCTCTCTCTCTCTCTCTCTCTCTCTCTCTCTCTCTCTCTCTCTCTCTCTCTCTCTCTCTCTGCGAACAATCCCGCACGAATCCACTCCCTGTCATAATGAGTCTTTACTTCATGTCCTGAATCAACGGGACATGGACAAGGTAGAAGTCCGGCAGTCCCTACTGCTACCGTCAGCCAAAAACACCAAGGCATGGCACACAATAAACGCTCAGTTGAAGATCCATCTCACTCAACATTTCCCAACCTCATACCTCAAAAACACTAACATCGAAGAGACTCTGGACAAACTAGAGAACTTCATTCACTGGTTTTTCGACCAGAAACCACCACCACCTCCACCAAAACACAAGAATGCAAATAAAAACCGTGCAGTGGAAAAACTCCGGGCTCACAGGCGTGATTTAAAGCGCCAATTTCGTAAGATCAAAAACCCGGACGAAGTACCTGCAGCGCTCAGAAATGAGTATTTTTCAATTGGAAAACAAATCAAGCGTCTTTTGAAACAACAAAAGATGTACGACGATCGATCCCGGAACAAGAGGGACCAGGATGCCATTCTCAAGGACCCATATGCCTTCGGAAAGAAATTGTTTCAACCAACCAACCATGTCAAACCCACTTTCTCTGACACTACCTGCTTTGAGTACTTCCAACACACATATGCAGACCAGGATTGTGCCACTTCGTACGAATCCTGCCCCAGTGCAGGGAAGCCCCGGGATTGCACCCACCCAGTCGATGAGGGGACCCCTACATGGACTGAGTTTCAGAATGTTTTGAAGAAGTGTCGCAACACCTCTGCACCGGGGCCTGACAAGATACCTTACATAGTTTGGAAGCTTTGTCCCTCCCTTCAATCCATTCTTTTCACCATCTTTGGGCGGGTTTGGGAGAGCAAGATCATTCCAAGGCAGTGGCAGGTAGCGTCAAGAGTCCATAACCCCCCAGAGTGTGCAACTCGTGATCCTTCTCAGCACAAATCAGTGCCGCAACGAAATCCAAACTTCATACGTCATGTAGTGAGTAGCTATGACGAAATGGGAAGTTTGGCCCGGACCTACTTCGCCCGTTTGCCCAATTTGGGGTCTTTCTTTACGAATCCACGGAACACGCCGCGCCTGGAAAGGCTCAAGTACACAAAGAATTTTTAGAGTTTTCGAACAGTTTTCTCTTTTGAGTGTCTCTCCGATAAGAGAAGAACAATGGCCACTGTTGAACCTAAAGCAAAGCGCTCCCCATTGTCGCCGGGGTGCAGTGTCTCTGTGGACGATATTCGTCAGTTTTTGCTCGATCTGGGCTCCTCATTTTCTTCTCTCGATTGTCGAGGTTGAAGCACATCTACTTCGAAATCGATCGGGTCTTCATGCCGTGTGCCAAGAGCTATTTCCATCAAATCTTGTAAATCTATATCCATGCCTATTCTTGCTATCCCGGAGTCACGAACTCTCCCAATACAAGCTTTTCAGACAACGAGCAGAGAAACTCTCTTCAAATAAAAAAATTCTGTGACTGTGAAATCAAAGCCGTTCTGCTGACACTGCATAGCCCGTGGCATGGAGCAAACGTTTTACGTGACACTTCCGCGGCTTCAAAGCAACCTTCAACTACTTGGAACCCCCGCCGGATGTACCAGATATGCACATGGCCCCATCCGCCCATGCTTGCCCGGGGACCGGATGACGCAATGTTTGGATTTCGTTGCGCCAGACCCCAACCTGGAGTTGCACACTCTGGGGGGTTATGGACTCTTGGTAGCGTGTATCACACTCCTGGCCAAGGGGGAGGTGTCTGATGATCCTTCGAAATTCCGACCGATTGCTCTAGCAAACACGTCCGGGAAGATCTTTTTCACCTTAGTTGCAAAGCGCCTCTTGAAACATATGCTAGGCAATAAGTTCTTCGATGGTGACAACCAGAAAGGATTTATGCCTGCAAAGGCTGGGTGCTTAGAGCATACATCACTTTGTTATGAGGCGATGCGTGATGCAAAGACGGCAAAACGCCAAATTTGCATTGCGTGGATAGATTTGAAGAATGTCTTTGCGCTTTCGTCGTACAACCACACACTCCCACCTCGTGCACCCCCTAAACAGGGGACCAGCTACAGCCCTGGGGGGGGGGGGGGGGGGATTGATAGCGGAGTAAACCCTGGTGTGGAAAAATGTGCTGCGCTTACGTAGTTGTTCTTTACTGCTTTACATTCTAACAATATTGCAGGGAATTTTCTAGAACCGCCCCAACCGGTTTTTGACCGGTTGAAATTGTTGGCGACCGGTTGAAAAGTTACAAATCAGTTCCAACCGCCCGTACTTTTCTGTGGGTGAATGGAGCTGTGAATGGTCAAACGCTTTTTTCTGGACGGATACTTCCAGCGAAGCCGCGTGGGCTGGTACTAGGGTCACGAGTTAGTAAGAAATCTGTTAAATTGCTGTCGAGTGCCATATTTGGGTTGTATTTTGAAAAAAATTTCCGGGGGACCCCCCCCCCCACTCTTCATTGGACCGTAACCGGTTGGAAAATCGTCCTAGAATATACCCTGTATTGAGATGCCTTTTGTTGGCTCTTCTGCCTGGATTTCAGTGACAAATGCGTTAAGCCCAAGGATCCTTCCATGAGTGACATGCGAACTGCAACTATTATTATTACTATGTCTTTTTCATGCTTTGCTACTTTAGTACGCTCGCCTGACCGGTACGTTGAAAGCATCTGCTGAGCAGCCCGACCAGGAAACCTCTTAGCGGCGTGATGTGTTGTCTCCTTTCCACGTCTTGCTTGTGCTTGTCTGACTTCTGCCTTCGCAATGCTTGCAATGAACATATTGAGAAAATACACTGTATCGCCGTCACGCTATCCCTCCCCTATGCCCGTTGAATACTATTTATATAAGAAAACTACGACACACTAGCTCTTGGACTCCTGCATTCACGAATGTCAATTATTTTCTTCTGAAGACACCTCCATTGAACATACAATATCCTTTTCACGAAACACATGCCCTAGGACCCACACTCCTCTGAACCAACATTTCTAGAATTCGTTCAGTTGATTTCTTTTTTTATTTTGCTGTTTTACTGGCGAATGTACTGTCACTGTGATTTGACCTCTTCCCATTTTATGCTTTTGTCTTTGGTATTAGCCTGTCCTCGTCTACCTGATGAATGAATGATCCTATTTTTGCTTCAGTATTTTCTTTTTACGCAGGGTGTTTGTTGAAAACTTGCCGTTGTAGTTTCTATTGCCTGCTAGCAATTTGCCCACTGGCTAACTGTTGGTTCCCGGTAGCTTTCCTTTTTCTTACTCGTGTGTCATCACTCTGACTGGCTGCTTGGAATACAGTTCAATCTGACTTGTGTCCCAGGTCTGTAACACTGGTGTGTACCCTTACATGGAGTCCTCCCTGCATTCTGGGCTGTGTGCTTGCTAACGCATGAGATGTAGCTAGCCCCTCCCCCTTATGCGGTGGTTGTCGATGCACTGGCCACGAAATAACCTGCACTGTTCTCGGAGATGTGTGGCTTCAACAGGAGCCAAAGCCAGACATTTCCAGGAAGGGAATGAAGCTGAACTTCTTCGCTGTATCATCAACTTGTTTATTCTGCTCTACGCTACGGGAATGCGACGCGAAGAATCAAAGGAACATTCTTCGCATTCCCGGAACGTATAGGAAGCCTGTTCTGCTCTAGGTTCATGCAAAGAAGTCAAGTGTAATGTGTACTGGGAATTTCCCGTTCCAGATATTGTGCAGTTTTCCGCCTGATATATGAATGATGCCGGCATGACACTACGCCTTTTCTTTGCGTGAGCCACAACGTACGTAAAGAACCTCACCTCTGAAATTTGGACCCAAAACACGCAAAGCCATAGACTCCAGGGAGTCGTCAAATATTTGACGACTCCTCGATAGACTCTATCCAAGGGTACACCCCCCCCCCCCCCCCAAGATCTTAAGAGTGTGTAACTCGACTATGGCTGCTGTCCCAACAGGATTTCAAGTGGACATCATTTTTATGATGCAATGTGCACTTATTGTCAGACGTATCCTAAACATGGGGTGGACAATGCCCCATTTGATCCCATACAAATAAAACCAGTGCAAAAGAAACGTGTGCACAAGTCATGCGCATATGCAATGCATTGACACCCCAAATGTTGTATCATTGGTACAAGGAACAGTGCATCATAAAAAAAGTGACGTAAACTTGAAATTCTGTGGGGACAGCAGGGTATGTGGGAGTTGCACGCTCTTGAGATGGGAGGCTATGTACTCTTGCTCTACAGTAGAACGGCTAATCTTAGCGAGCAAAATTTGTAGCATTTTCTGAATCTGGAACAATTCGCGATGAAATATTTTAGCGATCCGAGTTTCAGAGTTTAAAAAGAAGGATGAATAGTACCAAGAGTACATTAACCTTTTATGTACTCTTGATAGTACTGTACACGCAAAAATTTCGATTGGTGCGGCAAAGCTGTAGCGAAAACACTCCTTTCGCTAAAATTAGCCATTTTTTACAGTAACCCAGACACTTGTTCCCTACGTTCACAGATAGCAGAACCTCACTATTATCAGGGGATTGGAATTTTTTTACTACTCCCCGGTCTATATCAATGACCAGCGATGACGAATCGTATAAGACTTTATGAAGAGAAAGGATAAAGCATGAAAATATAGTTCCAGCAGCAAACGTCACAAACAAACACCCTACTTCACGGGTAGCAGAACCTCACTATTATCAGGGGGTTGGCATTTTTTACTGCTCCCGGGTCTATATCAACGACCAGCGATAACGCGTCGTATAAGATTTTATCAAGAAAAAGGAACAATAACAAGGCATGAAAATATAGTTCCAGCAGCAAACGTCACAAACAAACACCCCACCCCAATCAAAAATAGATATTTATAGTTGCTACATATAATAGTTGCTGCATATAATTTTGTCTATGTAACTTTCGAAACACACATGCCTAGGAACGGCCACCTCTCGCTGTTCTCATCATATCAACGAAAAACCCAGTACAGCGTCAAGAGAAAAGGAGAGACCACCGATAAGAAGAGCAGGCGCATGTATATGTGCATGTTGGATGCTTTCAGCTGATTCACAATGGCTACTGTTTGTTGGCGTGTCTCTTCCAGAGTGCCACGGTTTGATATGACTATGTCTGCCCGTTGTACTTTCTGCTCCAGTGGCATTTGCGAGTTGATTCGTGCCAGTGCCTGTTCACGGGATAAGCTATTTCTCAGCATGAGACGCTCAACTTCCTGATCCGGTGTGCTGCCGATATGAAAGGATGCACAGACGGACACAGGCACGCACAAACAGATGGAGAGACACACACACACACACACACACACATGCATCAGCATAATAGAATTACTAGCTCGCATCCGTATCATGCAGTAAACGGCTCGTGATGATGTTTCTCTCTGTCTATCGAACTCCATTCGCCTTCCACTAGTACCACAAACGTACTGGAAGTTGCTCCCAGGAAACACTGTGCATGCAGCAATGGTGAATGACAGCCTCCATCTCAGCATGCTGAGCTCCTCAGCCGTGCATGATCAGTTGCATGCCGCTGTCAGTCTGGTGAACTGACCTACCACACTGGTGTAGGCCATAGATCAAGTTAGTGTCACTGCCTGGCTTGGCACAAACCTTTCCACAACTCCCGAACAAGTACAGGCTTTCCCGAGTTAGTTCGCATGGAACTTACAGTATACTACCCTACAAGAAACAGTGCATGAGAAAAGACGCTAGCAACTTATTACGGACATGCCCTACCATTCAACAACAATGACTTTGTGGAAGAGCTTCAGGAACGTCCCTGTTTCATAGAGCAGGGGTAGATCCATCACAATGAACTGATGTCCTGGAACACATACAAAAATTCAAGACACACAGACACATCAGATCAAGGCACCGAAGGGAAAGGGCAGACACTGACAAGCTGTATCCAGATTTTTTGTGTGCAGTATTATACTATTATTACATCTACTTCGAAGTACACTCGGCTGCTCGTAGTATGGTATATGCCAGGGCACGTTATCAACGTTAGGGGGCTCTTCTAAAAAATGGCCACTCCGTTTCCCCACTGCTGCTCTCTCATCTGTGGATAGGTTAGGTGCCAAGAGAGTGATGTGGCCACCTAGGGAAACCAGACGCATAATATTGCAGAATGCATGATTGAAGTACAGTGGAACTGCAGAATTCCAACCGCATTTCCGACCGTCAGGCAAAGTGGTTCGATCTCCAGGATGGTCTGATTGGTGAAAATGATCATCATGTATGCATGCTTATTTAGGGAAATCTGGGACCGAGCAAAAGTCGTCAGATAGGTGAGGTAGTCGGAAAGCAAGGTTCCACTCTACATGGATGCCAGTACGTACATCTCTTGCCAATTGCCACACGGCGACGCCTTGCTCACAACCTCCTACCCACGCCAGCCACATACTCTGCTCTAATATTACACTGCTAGGCACGAAACTAACACAACTGTCCCTGCCTCCACTGCTCCCTGCCTACCACAACCACACACTCTGTACAGAGCCTCCTGCCCAAACCAACCACACTTTTAAACTAACAAAACATTGCTTGCCCTGAAACCTATACAGCTCCCACACTCATACACAGATTTCCACACAGCACTTTAAAACACTATCGAATCAACACCCCATGAAAATTATTATTATTATATGCACGTCCGCGTTTACGTCAACAGTAAGTCCACGTATTCGCATGTGCCAGAAGACAGGCAGAGTGGGCAGAGAGGAAAAAAATAAAAAAATAAAAAAATAAATGTAAGACAGCAGGCGATAGGCACATAACTCATGTTCGATGATAGGTGCTCAATGCACGGCATCTATTCGAAAGATCAAAAAATTAAACAAGAATAACAGACAACGACGATAGGTTTGTAACTCATGGTCGATGGTAAGTGCTAAATGCACGGGATCTGTACAATGCCTCTGTCCCATCCGTTAGTTACTGCGTACATCCTGGCACAGCTCGCGCCACGCAGGCCAGTCAGCGGCGATGGCCTGCAGGTGCTCCAGGTCTGCCAAGTTCCTCAGACTCCTCAGTCCTGCTGATTCTAGGTCCGCGGATGGTGTGGACACGATGGTTGTCCGTGGCCGCCCTCGCCAGACCTTGTCCCCACAGGTGAAGTAACTCCGCATAGCGAGGGCGGCAGGCGTGTCTTGAGGGAGTCTGAGGATATGCCCAAACAGGTCCCATCTGGATCGCCGCATGAGGGCACTGATGGGCTCTGCGTGGCATCTGCCGTACAGGGCTTTGTTTGGAATCACCTGCGGCCAGCGGATACCCAGGAGACTCCGAAGTTGTCTTCGATGGAATGTGTCCAGACGCTCCCATGCTGAAGCCGTCAGTCCCCAGGTGCCTCCATTGTACGTTAGCACAGGGATGATAAACGCGTTGTAAAGCCTTAGCCGTAGACTTTCGCTGATGATCGATCGACGACACCATACCGTAAATAGCGCTCTGAAGGCTGCCGTTGCTAATTGTTTCCTTCGTGCAACATCTTCCTCGTCGCCGAGGAGTGATCCGAGTTTTTTTGTTTTCCGCCATACTTCAGCCAGGCGGTCTCCTTCCCGGCGCAATGTTGTTTTTTTCTGTTTTATCTTTGTTGATCTTTAGGTGCCAGTCTCCAAGGATAGCGATGATATCCGGTTCGATGCTCTCCAGCCAGGGTCTGGATTGGCTGATGAAATCAGTGTCATCGGCATAAATCACTTCTGGTGGTAGAGCCATGTCGCGCATTGGCCTGGGCGGAATCGATGCTCTGATCTCCCTCAAGGCTGATTCCAGGTAGATCACAAATACTACAGGAGAGAGAGAGTCACCTTGGGGGGTTCCGATGGTGGACTTGAAATCAGGTGAAACTTCCTTTCCAAGACGGACAGATATGGTTGTGTTTGACAGCAATATCCGTACCAGTCGGATGTCATCCTCCGTGACGATTGCTGTCATGGTACTCAGCAGCTTCTCCTTTGAAACGGTGTCGAAAGCCTTCGACATATCTATTCCGTGAATCTCTATTACGCTCTGGTACTTCTGGGCAATTGCAGCCATCCACCGGTGTGCCCAGACGGCATCCGCCGTCGACCTTCCGGGTCTGAATCCACTGTGTGTAGGGCTAAGGTACTTATTCACTGCCGGTTGGATACGTCTGAGGGTCAATAATGATACAGCCTTCCTGACGGAATCCAGCAGAGTGATTGGGCGCAAATTACTGGTCGGTCCCCTTTTCTTGTTGGGCTTCTGCAGTAGGATTAGGGTGCCTGCTCCTAGATCTATAGGGCTATGGAGTTCGAACATGCGGTTGAGGCAGAGAGCGATCCTGGCTGCTAGTTCGGCGCCACCATACTTCACCAACTCAGCATTCACCCATCCGGGCCTGGTGCTCTGCCATTGTTGAGGCGCCCGATGCACTTTTCTAGTTCTGCTGCTGTTATTGGATGCTGCAGAGGCCTCGGCTTTCCCTCAAATGGGTCGATAGGCTTCTCACTGTTGCGATTGAATTGCGTGCTGAAGTGCGTTCTGATGATATTCAGGGATTCTTCGGCATTTCCAACAATTCTTCCCTGGGAGTCCTCGACCACCACTTTCTGTGCTTGCTTTCTTGTCATAACTGTCACAGCTTTAAACATTCTGGCACCATCTTTCAATCTCTCCACTTCCTCTGCCATCGAGTTCAATCTCCTCTCGTTGCTCTCTTTGCATCGCCGCCTGATGTCATGTTGAATGATGTTGCGTTGAATTTTCAAGTCCGCCCATTTACTAATGTTAGTTGTGCTTGCCCAGCTCAGTCTAAGCTCCTTCTGCTTCTTCGACAGCCTTACTATCTCGGGATCCGTCGATTGTCTTCTTTGCGGCTTTTTCTCGTGCCCCACAACGCTGCTCGCAACCGTACTGATACTTCTTTATCCACTGACGATGTTGTTCAGAACAACGAAACGTCTGGAGAAGTATCGTAAAAATTTCTATCGTTATTAAATGTTATCAAATATACCACTCTTTGGTCTAGAAAGAATACTTTTTGATATTACAATGAGAGTGAATAATCAACGGCTTGTCCACCAACTCTTCGTACTGATAGTGTTAAAGGAGAAGTTAAGGCAAAAATTAAAATTTCACCAGTTGTAGTCTTCGGGGTGCTGAGTCGAATGGTCTTGGTCCGAGAAAGCTGAGACGCTCTCTTCCTACTTTAATCCCAATCGAACTCGCGCACTTCCACCGAAACTGGGTGACTGCGCCCTACTAGATGGGGATTTGTATGCAAAATGTCACTAAAAGCGCCATTTCGTTCTTATAAAAGCACGGATGACCGCGATTGGCCCATATGTTGTAGTCTTTTGGACGCTGAGTCGACTGGTTTGGTCCGAAAAGGCTGCGATGCAGCGTTCCTCCTTTATTCCCAATCGAACATGGTTGAACAAGTGGTCACGTGCTCCTGGGTGCCCAAATCACCTGGTCACCACGCCAGCAGGCGACAACTTTCACACCAAGGTTCAACTTGAGTTCAACTCGAGTGACAGGACTGCACCCAAAAAAGGTCAAACAGGCTAGTAAGTTGTACCCTGCAGGCACGGTGACCAGGTGACTGGTGTACGCAGGAGCACGTGACCGCTTGTTCAACCATGTTCGATTGGGAATAAAGGAGGAACGCTGCATCGCAGCCTTTTCGGACCAAAACCAGTCGACTCAGCGTCCAAAAGACTACAACATATTGGCCAATCGCGGTCATCCGTGCTTTTATAAGAACGAAATGGCGCTTTTAGTGACATTTTGCATACAAATCCCCATCTAGTAGGGCGCAGTCACCCAGTTTCGGTGGAAGTGCGCGAGTTCGATTGGGATTCAAGTAGGAAGGGAGCGTCTCAGCTTTCTCGGACCAAGACCATTCGACTCAGCACCCCGAAGACTACAACTGGTGAAATTAGTAATAATAATAATTTTTCATAATTTTTTTGACAGGATATTTCCTTATCCAGTGACCGCAAAGACTCCGTGACTGCCTCCCGGTACTGACATTGAACCTCCTTGCTCTCTGCAAGTTTCTTGACGTTGATCTTGTCCGCCGAGACGGAGGGTACTGAGGTTGGTCCTGTCACTGTTCGTTGTCTGCCATGGAGCACTCCATCTAGTCTGGAGAGGTCCAACTCAGCAACAACTAGTCGGTGATCAGTTGTAAGTTCAATTCCAGCATAACTTCTGCTATTCCTCAAGAGCCTTTTTTGAGACGAGCGACACAGTACATAATCTATCTGGTTGTAGACCGGTACAACCTTCTGTGTTTGGCTATCCTTCCGCCACCCGGTCCAGGTAGTAATGTGGCGTGCTGGATGCTGAAATGATGTGTTGGCCAAGAATAGGTTGTTACATTCACAAAAATCCAGGAGCAGCTGGCCAGCTATATTCCGCTTTCCCCTGCCGTGACTGCCGACCGTAGTTTCTCTTGCTTTGCGGGTGCCAGCCTTTGCATTGAAGCCACCCGTGATGTACAGCAAAGTGCTCGACTTGTCCGTATCATATGCTTGCGAGAGTGCAAAGCATCACAAAATCCATCCATATTTCTCCTGGCATAAATACCGGCATGGCCAATAGCATCCTCATGTTGCCTGATGACTGTGTAGCCTGAAACTCAGAGTAGCCACAAACTAGCCTTGCTTGCCCTTGTTGTTCTGTGTCACAAACTAGCCTTGCTTGCCCTTGTTGTTCTGTGTCACAAACTAGCCTTGCTTGCCCTTGTTGTTCTGTGTCACAAACTAGCCTTGCTTGCCCTTGTTGTTCTGTGTCACAAACTAGCCTTGCTTGCCCTTGTTGTTCTGTGTCACAAACTAGCCTTGCTTGCCCTTGTTGTTCTGTGTCACAAACTAGCCTTGCTTGCCCTTGTTGTTCTGTGTCACAAACTAGCCTTGCTTGCCCTTGTTGTTCTGTGTCACAAACTAGCCTTGCTTGCCCTTGTTGTTCTGTGTCACAAACTAGCCTTGCTTGCCCTTGTTGTTCTGTGTCACAAACTAGCCTTGCTTGCCCTTGTTGTTCTGTGTCACAAACTAGCCTTGCTTGCCCTTGTTGTTCTGTGTCACAAACTAGCCTTGCTTGCCCTTGTTGTTCTGTGTCACAAACTAGCCTTGCTTGCCCTTGTTGTTCTGTGTCACAAACTAGCCTTGCTTGCCCTTGTTGTTCTGTGTCACAAACTAGCCTTGCTTGCCCTTGTTGTTCTGTGTCACAAACTAGCCTTGCTTGCCCTTGTTGTTCTGTGTCACAAACTAGCCTTGCTTGCCCTTGTTGTTCTGTGTCACAAACTAGCCTTGCTTGCCCTTGTTGTTCTGTGTCACAAACTAGCCTTGCTTGCCCTTGTTGTTCTGTGTCACAAACTAGCCTTGCTTGCCCTTGTTGTTCTGTGTCTCATGGCAATTGTATAGCCGGTGGTAATGCGGATGTGCGAACCTTACTTCTTTAAAAAAAAATTAACATCCCTTGCCAACACTAATACCAGCTAATTAGCATGAAGAAATAGTAGATACGCCTGGAATCAAGTACAGCAGTCGCAACAGAACACACACAGCACCTTACCACGTAGAAAGCTGCATAGCACGATGTACCGCATTCGCCGATGGATATACGTGTGGGTACATTTGTTCAGGAGCCGCCGTTTCGATTCATCGTTGAAAATAATCTCTCCAAGTGCAGCCCGGTTTAGTTCCCCAGATGGCAACAGTACTGATTCACCAAATTCGGACACAATCTTCTTATAAGCAGGCTGGCCAACTTCGACAACTGCAAGCTCACAAGTTCAAACGAAACAAACACCAAACACCAGAGTGTGAGCAAAGAAGATAGACCAGTAGACTGGTGGACTTCATTATTTCAAAAATCAACAAGTTTCCTCTCTCTTCAGTGTTCCGTATTTCAAACGTACGTTTTTAGTGGCGGTGGCATCACACGCATGATCTATAAATTCGTTATGCTCACATTGAATAACCAGTTGGTGAGACGTACACCAAAAATAAAAGACGAGTAATAGAGCGAGTGGCGTTATTGGAATCACCAGTGGCTTCCTTGCTACGTGTGTTGTACACTACACTCACCATCTCGAGATATTTGATCAGCATCAATCACAGGACAGCCGAGCTCCCGTATCATGCCAGATACGGTCGACTTGCCAGTGGCTATGCCACCTGTGAGACCGACGATGAACATGGCTTTGAAGTGGCTTCTGCCAGGGGCTAACTATAATACCCACTTCCTTCTTGGTCCTCCAAGCTGTGCCTTATACACTCATATCGGCTGCCAAACTCTCACGTCTGAGCAGGTTAAAGAGGGAGAGAGCAAGAGAAGGGGGGGGGGGGGAGAGAACAAAAGAGAGAGAGAGAGAGAGAGAGAGGGGGGGGGGGGGGAGGGGGGAGGAGAGAGGGGGTCATGTTGAATTGTTGATACCTCAATACAATATTGGTCTGCTAGTCTCCGCTGACTCTTAAATCGATGCTGTTATAAAAATGACATTTCGCTCATGGTTCCTCACTTTACTGGATATGTTTGGGTACATAAAATGTCTACGGGCTGGGTACGATGGCACGGTGCATATACGGAACACAGTTCACCTGTCATCATTTGGTCACATGGGACATGGTAATGCGAACATACCCTACCTGCACGGACAAAAGGTTTAAGGAACGTTGGACGCTGGCTTTGCCAGACGCACTATGTCGGGAATATTCTTATTATTATTATTAAGCACTGCCGCGTTCAAGTCGGTGGATCCAATTAGGTCCACCCACAGGTTCGCTTGTACCGGATAGATTAAAGTAAGGGGATAATGATTTGATGATGTTGATGTCGGGAATAAGTGACAGGTACAGTTCGTTTGAATGGCTAGTTTGCTGCATGTACTAGTAGTAGTAGCTACAATATGCAATACAGCTATATTCCAGGCTTCGGCAAATGTAGTACATCTGGCAGACCCGTTGTGCATGTAAAATAATTACATGTATGCAGTCATAGGCCTTGTAATTATATTATAAGTTATAGGCCAAACTTTTATTTGGCCAAAATTATAACGCAAATTTCATCTACCTACGCCCTCACCGGCAGTGTTCTGTCCCACTCACAGCACGTAACTCAGTAGTCTTGCTGAAACTCAGTTATCACTTCGATGGGTAGAACAAGAACAGTAGAACTAGAAGGATACGTGACACAGTTTGTACTCGTACAGCAAGCCATAAATACTGAGCACCTCGCTCTGCGAATGCCACACCAAACAAAGATTTTTCGAATCAAAGATTCGAAAGTGAACTACTTTTAATAGACGGGATTTTCCCGCTCGATCAATGACCACGATATGGTGCCTCGTTCAAAATCTGGCTGCGTCGCGCCCTGGACATGCCCCCAAAATGAGCTCATCATTCACGCGACGATATCGCGATCGGCGCATGCAGCTACGCCGGGTAGACCAGCTGAGCAGTGCTCCATCATCTGATCAAATCACGAGCACACAGAAAATGCGGCATGCATGCCTTGTATTGGGTGATCGTGAGATACAAGTAGTCGAGCGAGGCCAGAAAGAGAAGAGGAATCAGGGACCAGCCTGTGGTGAGGGTTGCTTTCCGTCGATCTCCCTGAAACGTTGTTTTGCTACAGCTTCGTTGCTTAGTAGTCAACCCGTAGGATGAACAGTATGTTTTGCCGTTGCGGACAGAGGTTTTTGGCCCTGCCCTCGTCTGCAGTTCGCCATTTGAGCACAGACTCGACACCACCTCGTGTGCTCATCACAGGTCAGTGGACGTTACTGACTGAACTCTCATCATTTATACTTTGTATTTCTAGACTTTGCATGCCCTTGTATCCCGAATTCCCTGCTGAAAAAATCGCACGTGGTGGTAGCGGAGGAGTAGGTTTTTCTCTGCATATCGCCATCACAGCTGGTACATGTATAACTTTTAATTATTGGAGTAGCCAACATGTCCTCATTTTTTCGAATTGTCCCTACCATTCACCTCCACAACACATGCACTCTTCATTGGAGTGGTACTCTGCATCGTGACAAGTACCTACAGCTGCAGTGCACTACTTGGTTTACAATGTTGGTGAACAGAGTGGATGAAATCCTGAGAATTCATGTTTTGAACTAGTTATAGTATCTGTGGAAGAAAGGAAAATATGGGATAATTATGTCAGCACCTTCTTTATCAAACTTCACATGTTGTGGAGGGGAAGCCCATTGTCTTTCCACTTGAAGCTAGCTGTTTGTAGGGACAGCTGTTAGGCCTGTTCCTGTGTGGCCACTGTGAAGTCAGTGTAATTGTGCATCCTGTTATTCTATGCCTGTGAGGGTGACCTGTAGAATTGATACACTGCAGGAGGAGGACAATGCAGCTACTTCAGTAATAGGCTACATCAGTGTAACAGGCATTCTCACTCAGCTCTAGCTGAGATGTATATGTGTTGTGGTTAGAAAACGACAGCTGATGTCAGTGGCGGTGGGTGACTTGTAGTTGTTGTGATGGTGTGGCTTCCTCGGGATGTCAGACGTCCCATTACTCATGTGAGGAAATGTCAACAACCGCATGATTACAAACATGGCTCCTGTCGAAGTGTCATGAAATTCAACTCGGTGCTGCAGCTCAACGTATTATAGGCGAAGTTAGTTTTTTTTTAATTTTTCGACGTCACAATAGAGAATTTTTCATCCAGCGCATGCGCCGATTGTGAATAGCAACTGAATAGAGCAGCTGTCAGTTGACAAACCCCCTTTCTTTATAATGCAGTTGTGTGGTGTCCACTACTTTCTTAGTCAGTTAGTTTTTTTTTAATTTTCGTCTCCGTCCCCAAAGGAAAATAATCATGATGACCACTACCACCCAACCGGTATACTGTTGAAAAACACCCACACGGATTATCATCGAGTTGCTGTGCAGTCCTGGTCACTAGTGGATTGCCTACTAGTGCACTATGTGGTTTGATGGGGAGATGTATATCAAAAGGCCTCATTCCATGTGATGGAATTTGCTTTGCACGCTTACAGTGCGTTACCTCCGTTTCGTGCATGTGTCTGAATCTCTGGTGCACCACAATATTTCGTAATGCTATGAATATGATGCTTTCCTTCGCACTGCTTAGCAGCTGGAGGGGGTCTGCCCTTTGTTCCGCAGCGATGGCGGTGTTGCTGTGGATGTGTAAAAGTCAGTCTAACTGGCTCTCGCTCGGTTCATGGGATTGTTCTAGTTTGCATTGGGGCAATTTTGCTCTTTAGGGGCCATTCGCAAATACCGATATTTATTTAGAAACGAAAACTAGTCGTTTCTCTTCAACCCTCTCCTCCTCCCTGAGAAACGAACACATACAAACGGTACATAGTATCGATATTTTTTTATTTTTTCTGGACCTGCCCACACATACAAACTGTGCATCGATATTTTTCGAGAAACGAACAGGCGCTCAACCCCCTCACCCCTAAACGACTAGTTTTCGTTTCTAAATAAATATCTATATTTACGGATGGCCCCTTACATGATTTCAACTACATTTCTGTTGTCCCGAGTGGAACAGCTGTCTGGATCAGCAAATTCAGCCAAAGTGGTCTCAGCACAGTAGATGTAAAACTCACTTTGTTGCACGATGAGGGGGGGGGGGGGGGGGGGGCTCAACCTCAGGCTTCTGCTTTGTATTACCAGAGCACTATACGGAGGCCTAGTTGTTAGTTTGGTGCATCACCCTTCCTACTTTCTTACTCTCAATATGTTTGTGTGTTGTGTGTGCACTGGTATCTGCATGTGCATGACTGTGCTCTCAGGAGGACTTGGGCAGCTGGGTCGAAGCCTAGCATCTGTCTTGCGCAAGACTCATGGCAATGACAGTGTTGTACTTACCGACATCAAGAAAGCGCCCAGTGATGTGCTTTCTGCCGGTGAGTGTTCTCTCTCTCTCTCCCTCTCTCCCTCTCTCTCTCTCTCTCTGGCTGGCTGGCTGGCTGGCTGGCTGTCTCCACCTGTCTCTAGACCTGCCTCTGCCTCTCTCCTTCTCTTTCATTTTTTTCTCTATTGCATTCTAGCTTTGCAATGATTTCTTGCAAATCACTAGAGGCCGGCTGGTGTGTTGTGGTCAAGTGGTGAAGAATGTTTGTGACTGGTGCTGTCTAACACTTGACCACATGCATATAACTTGTCTTCTTGTCTTCTTGTGTTCTCATTCCTCTGTGTACAGGTCCATACTCCTACCTGGATGTCCTTGACGAGGCATCGCTGCGTCGCACCGTTGTGGAAGAGCGCATCACCACTCTCGTGCATTACAGTGCTCTGTTGAGTGTGGTGGGTGAGAGCAACATACCGCTGGCGATGAAGGTCAACATTGACAGCGTACATTCCTGCATGCAGATTGCCCAGGAATACAACCTGCGCTTGTTCATTCCGAGCACGATCGGTGCGTTCGGACCTCACTGTCCACGCAACCCCACCCCCGACTTGACAGTGCAGAGGCCCAGGACTATCTATGGAGTGTCCAAGGTTCACATGGAGTTACTCGGAGAGGTAGGTTGTTGCTTGTCATGTCCATGTGTGTGTTCATGTCTGTCAGGGTCTACCTATGTGCGTGTTCATGTCTATCTACCTATGTGTGTTCCTCATTCTTTTTTAAACTGTTTCTCTGTGTAGGCTTGCGTTTGAGTGGCTTTTTCCGTATTATGTGTGCGTGCGTGTGTGTGTGTGTGTGTGTGTGTGTGTGTGTGCGTGTGTGCGTGAAATAAATAAGGGGAATTGCTTCACCTGAATACCAAAAGCACTGTAGTATCTACATTATGTTTTTATGAGACCAAAATGTGATTACACTTAGCAATCATACTTTCTGGACTTCATGTCCAAGTATTAAAAACAGAGTCGCATTACTTTGATACAAGCTTAGTTACTATGGGTGGTTTTGAGTATTGCTGTCACTCTCACAATGTGGAGACATGTCTGTAAACTGTGATCTCTATTTAACTACTTGTGTTGGCCTTGTCTGCTCCATTGCAGTATTTCCAGGCGAGCAGGGGCCTGGACTTTCGTTCACTGCGCTTCCCCGGCGTTCTGTCAGCTGATACTCCACCTGGTGGTGGCACAACAGGTAAAGTTCCTGACAACATGCACTGTACCTTGTGTCCTCCGCCGTGTGTGCACCTTGTCATTCCTGATTTGCTTGCTCATGATCTGAAAGGCGAAGCCCTGCCAAGTTCGTGGGTCGAGTACAAGTGACGTGCACTTGTGTGTTCTTCTGTGAGCTTGACTGTGATGTCCTGTGCGCTTGTCTTTACTATGCTTGCTTGCCTGCTGCTGCTGCTGCTGTACAGACTATGCCGTGCACATGGCCGTGGCGGCTGCCAAGGATCGGCCATTCGAGTGCAACCTTCGGCCAGACACTCGCCTGCCTATGATGTATCTGTCGGACTGTGTGCGTGCCACCGTGGAAATGCTAACAGCACCGGCCGATAGCCTTCGCCTGCGCACCTACAACGTGACCGCGATGAGCTTCACACCCGAGGAACTTGTTGCTGAGATTCGCAAGCACAAGAAGGACTTCACCGTCACGTATAAACCAGACCCTATTGTCCAAGCTATTGGTAAGAGAACGTAGTGCGCAACTCCAGAACCCATTGTACACAGTGCTTGCTGGGTTGCAGCGAAATACAAACCTTAGTCTGTTAGTCTCTATCTTGCAGGTTGTGCACATACGTGATTACACATTTTCTTGCATTTGCTAAGTTTTGCTTGTGTTGTGTTGTCTGTGCTCAGCTGACTCATGGCCGGAGGTGTTCGACGACTCTGGTGCTCGCAACGACTGGGGCTGGAATCATGAGTATGATCTATCTCGGCTTGTGCGGCGCATGCTGGAAAGTGCTGCCAAGTACCACTAAAACGATATGCTAGGTACTAGTATGTCTTCTTCTTCTTTTTTTCAGATTTCATACTTTCACATGCTTACTGCAAGGTTGTCAATTTTCTGATTTTCTGATTTATTTCTCGATGGGTCTGTGCATCCATGAGACCTATAGCCTACCTGCGGGTCAGGTATATATGTATTGTTCCTTGGCATGTGCCTTCCTTCCCCGTGCTTCGTCATTCCCGCACCTTTCCTGGTGGATTCCCTTGAATGAAGTTGACTGGATTTATTGGTTTCAACTGCTTCCCTTCACCAGGCTTGCTTTGTTCTTGTTACAGGCGCCGGACGATGCCAGCAGCAGTAGAATACTATGCCAGGCATGATACCGTAGTTAGTTCTAACACCGTGTGTAGGTGTGTAGGTCCGGTTTGTGTTTGAATCTCGCTCCACGTAGGTGATAGTAAACTCTTCTAGTGGGCTGCCACACGCTTGTTTTTCTTGATTTGTTTTTGTTTTTGTTGCTGCCTTCTGAACAGCTTAGATTCACACCAGCCCTCTGGTTAAGGTGTAACGGTAGTTCTGCCATGGATGCTATGGTTGTCCTGTGCTCACTCACAGTCGCTAGTTTCTATTCCTCAAACTCCTTTTCTCATGCTACTTAGACTTGCAATACTTTGCTTCACTTCAAAATTTTCATAAAATTGATAGTCAAATTTCCGTTTAGAAGCCCAGGCCAGGCTTTTGCTATTATATCTTTTGAACTAACTTGTAAAATTATTCTAATTTTATATGGTAACTGTTAGCTTAGTATCTGACTGTAAAGGACAAGACTTGCGCTGTGGGCGCAGCTGACTTTCCTGATAGGAACGCAGCGACCTTCATGAACGTGGAACAGTGTGTGGTACATTGTGGAGGGAGTGGATTAGTATTATTCTTATTATTATGAAAATGCCCAAAGGCATTTCGAGGGGTTCATTTGATTGAAAAAACAGTACTAGTATGTACAAAGACAGGTAGAGCTTGATGAGGAGAGAAACGGGGAAGATCGACTGCAAGGTGACGGAATTCCGTTGATTGCATAAGCATAATGTATGATCACGAATACATCACCAATTGCTTACATTAAACACATCGGACAACTAGCTGTTTCGATAATTGCACAATATGTAATCTTGGTATGACTATCATTGCGTTTCGCTAGAGCTGATGACTCCCTGAAGGTGATGACATTATAAGTCAATAAAATTAATAACGACTTATGGGCCAAATTGGATCCACTTGCGACCACAGCGAAGATATCCGGTGGCCAGATCCCTTATGTTTCATACTACATGTAGTACCAAGAGTATATAAGCCCCCATGGGGATTATAAGTATATTCTTGCTAGTACTGGTCTGGTGTGATATTACTTTAGTTTTCGGTTCTAGCATGCACTCTCTGTGTCCTCGGCCAGGACAGGAGGGCCCAACCAAGTCACTACTTGCGGTATCAAGAGCTTGGCGGCATTAGTACGGACGTATGGTTATGTCAAAGAAAAAGGAAAGACCACCCAAACCGTCTGGGTGGTCTTACGAGCGCGCGTGTGTATTCTTGCTAATACGCCATGATCCACAAGTCGGCATTGTCATGACTCCGCCTGTGACATACCGTAGCATTGTTCAAGCCCTACAGCATTAGCAAGAGTATATACAAGCGCTCGTAAGCTCCCAGTTTCTCTTGGTATTAGCAAGAGTATAATTATAAGCCCCCATACATGTATGTACAGCTGTACCAAGCTTGAGTGTAATGAATGAATCCTTGGAATTGATGGGGGAAATGGCGGTTTCCTCTTGCAAGCCCAGTAAGGTGGAAGTCACCATTATTTTGGGCAGATTATGGCACAGACACGTAACAGTTCCATACTGGTACCTCGTACCTCATTAATGTTGTACTTTCAATGCTGTAAGTGTCCATTACCAAAAGAAAAGGTACATTAGGAAGCTAGTGAATACAAGGGCGGTAGTCGCACTTAGACAGGACAGAGGTCTGAGGATGACTCCCTGGTGTTCTCAATGACTTCAGGAGAAACAAAGAGAGAGAAAATGGTTGTGTATGTAAAAACAGGCATGCAGAGCCTAAATCCGACAGGCTCCTACATTCAGCACACTGATAAAACCAAGATGCTACTGGACTGGGTGGCTGGGTGGAGAGAGAGAGAGAGAGAGAGAGAGAGAGAGAGAGAGAGAGAGAGAGAGAGAGAGAGAGAGAGAGAGAGAGGCAGTTCACACAGGTAGCATCAAGCGCTGTAAGCCACAAGCATGAGCCTCCCGCTGTACGGCATGGAGGTATGGGCAAAATAATGGCGGATAGGGAACTATTGATGATATGTTGTGAGAGGCATGAGGCGAACTGTCATGCCACCATGGCGTGAGGACAGAATGTACAGGATCAATGCTGCTAAAAGATAAACGACCATGCACAGCACGGCCAATACTGGCAATCGTGTGGCAAACCATGTGCACGCATGACTACACACAACCCGCACACCACCTAATAGACCAACACAGCGCTCACCAGCGGCGCTCCATTCAAGAAACGCATGCAGCAAATAACGTTACAAGGGAAAGAGCAAACACCAGCAAAGTTTCAGACAAACAGGCAGTTTACACAACGAAAGTGAAGTACTACATTGAATGAAAACGTGGACAGAAGCAGAAGAAGACAAAGACAAGGTTAGTTTGCTGTGTCCACACGAGAGGAGCATGATCAAGAACATAAAAAAGCATTGCTCTGTCAACTGGAAGTCATCTATTTCCGCCGGTTCTTACTAGGTGGGGGCTTTGCCAGTGTAAGACCTTTATTGGCAGCTTGGCCAGCGCCAAGACCACCGCCAAGACCGCCTCCGAGACCACCGCCGAGACCACCGCCGAGACCTCCGCCAAGACCACCGCCGAGACCACCACCAAGAGCTAGTCCGCCAGCTTGACCTGCGAGGCCACCGGCTGCAGTCGCTCCGGCAAGACCGCCACCAGCAGTCGCGCCCGTTGCTCCGAGTCCGCCGCCGAGTCCTCCACCGAGTCCTCCACCGAGACCGCCGCCAAGGCCACCGCCAAGGCCTCCACCTGTCTTAAGGCCACCACCTAGAGCACCGCCAGTCGTACTGAGACCACCGCCTAGACCACCGCCAAGACCTCCGCCTAGACCGCCGCCAAGGCCTCCCCCAAGACCGCCGCCAAGGCCTCCCCCAAGACCGCCGCCAAGACCTCCACCGAGACCTGTAGTACCAAGGCCACCACCGCCAGCCTTGAGACCACCAGTCGTCCCGAGACCACCACCGAGGCCTCCGCCGAGACCACCACCCAGACCACCGCCAAGACCACCGCCAAGACCTCCGGTGAGACCACCTGCAGCCTTGAGACCTCCAGCAGCTGCGGTACTACCAAGACCAGTTAGCCCGCCGGTTGCTCCCAGTCCTCCAGTCGTGCCACCAAGTGAGAGACCAGTGGTGCCCAGGCCTGTTGTGGTGGTTCCAAGGCTGGTCTTCAATCCAGTACCGAGACCACCACCTAAGCCTGTCAGTCCTGTAGTTCCGAGGCCAGTCAGGCCAACTGTTTGTTGGGGCTGCTGCTGTTGTTGGATAAAACTGCCTCCAAGACCTGAAGCCACAGCAGTAAACAAACAAAAACAGAAAATGAAATCCAGTGGTGCATCAATTGCAGTTGGGGTAGGAGTACGACGTAGGTAACACAGCAGGTATGTACTGGCAGTGTAGTCTCATCAACACACACACAAATACACACACACGCACACACACACGCGCGCGCACACACATGCACACACGCAAGCACGCACGCACTCACTTCTGTAATTCATAATCTCATCTAAAGCGGATGCCACGAGGATGTACAACATCCTGTAGCCATGCATCATCAGCACCTACGTGTCCACCACCACAACAGGTGAGAATGCATGCAAGCAAACAGGTAAGGTATGTTGACATGTATGACTATATGGCCAGGATAGCTACAACTCACCTGCAGTGGCATTGGCAACTTGTGTAGCTGTGGCCATGGCTGCCATACCGCTCACACCAAAAAGGTTAGGTCTGGTCGATTTGGGCTCCTCTGCCTCTAAGATACAATGAACACAAGACAACAGAAGCACAGTATACATATACGTACAGACATGCTCAGGATCAGAGCACGACCACAGCCAACTGCAGGCACAGAGGGCCACAGTGCCACAGAGCAATAGCCACACAGACCAGGTAGTAACGTTTAACTCATGAACCTCAGGACAGGTGCACACATCTACTCTCTCCACGTGACATCCACACAAAGTATGCGCACGCAGAGAACAGCTTACTTCTTTTTTCCGCTTTCCGGCGAGCTTCGAATACATCTGTGGAATTATCTTTGACAACTTTCAAGTAATTCAAATACTGCTCTTTCTGGTTCTGCAGTTCGGAGAGAAAACAAAGAACGCATGAAGATCAACAATCAGTGCAGTCCAGCTACACAAAGAGCACGACTACGAACTAATAGTAGGCACAAACCATATGGATAAAAAAAAAAAGGTGAAAACATCCGCCATGCAAACACAAAGTACAAATAAAGAAACCACCTACAATGTAAGGTGATCTTACCTTGACTTGCTCACGAACAGACTGCAAGTGTGCTGCCAGTGAGAGGAATGTTTGATGCTGATGTCGTAACAAATGGGACAACGCTGATATGCAAGGATAAACAACAGGAATAAGCAACCAGTACACAAAAGGCGAGAAAAAATAGAAGCCCTTTAGCAGCCAATAGTAACAGTTAACTATACATTTCGTGCAAGGAGGACATGCAAAGTCATGCAATTCAAAGCAAGTACACTACAACGCGACAAGCGCAGCATGCGCACTTACCGCGCTACATGCAAAACAGTCAAAATCGTCATAATGTAGCAGGATTGAACAAGCAACAACACATTCAAAGTTTCAAACTGTACATCGAGTTGTACGACTACAAACCAGATAATATTACCGTACTGTACCGTCGTACACGACTAACGGGTACTCATTTGCTAACGGGTTAGCAGCTAAACAAACGGGTACCCGATCACCCCTAAAAAAAACCTAGAGGATCACACAGTTGAAAGTGTGACGTCATCAGCCTGCAGTGTGACCTCATCAAACTGCAGTTCATCTCATTACCCTGCAGTGTGACCTCATCACCCTGCAATGCTACCTCAATACTGTAAAGCGACAAACTTTCGCGGCGCGCAAATTTAGCGTTTTCATAAATTGGGCTGGTTCACGATGAGAAACTTTTGCGATTCTATCTCTTCAGTCGGATCTTGTACTGTCTACAATCAATGTACACAGAGGTTTGCGGCGATTTATATTTGCGAATGTGTGATGGTCGTGAAAATAGCGAAATTTAATCTCTAGCGAAAGTTTCTCACTTTACAGTATCCTGCAATGTGACCTCATCACCCCGCAGTGCTACCTCACAACCCTGCCCTGTGACCTCGTCTTCCCTTTACTCACCATCTGGCGTGAAGGTAGCAGACTCATTTGCCACCCACGTTAAGTGAACTTCCAGCTCGTCCAGCTGCTGACGATACAGGTGCATTTGCTCTTCAAAGCGAGCCACAAGCCGATTGAAATATCTGCAGCAAGCACGTCACAATAAGGACACACTAGTAAGGATGATCAGAACACACTTGGTTGCCTCACTAGATCTCCACAAGTACTCTACCCTAGGTCGTATCAATGACCAGGGCTACCTTAGTGCTGCTAGTTACTAGTACAAACGTGTTGTCTCCTGTTGGCCATAGATACAGGAAAACAATGCCACATAGTAGCACATAGACAGAAGAACGCTAACCAGCCCTTCCTGTATTTGCAACTACAGTAAAACTCCCCTAATCCGGACGCTCCGAATTTGGGCACGTCTGTCTACCGAGCACCTTTCTGACCCATCTAGAGTCACAAAAACTGGCTTTTCAATGAAATGGTCCCAAAACCTATTGATTGGCACAAACATAATATTTTACTTGCATGCAGTAAGTATGCAAGTGACTTAGTTCTGAGTACAGGTGATTCCTAGTTTCGGGCAGTGTTTGGTCCCATCCTGCCTGGATCTGGGGATTTTCACTGTATACATTGTATGCAGATTGTTATTCAATAACTTACTCTGTTGGTGCAACATGCTCAGGTTGAAGGCCAGCTGGGATATCCTTTGTTCTCTGCGCTATTTCAGCATCTTTCAACTCCTACACAAGTCAGGGAGAAGGGCAATACAACCAAGAGGAAAGCGGGCAAGTTGAGCAAACTGCAACTATGCCAAACAGACAAACCAAAGTCACTACAGCACACATACCAGTACATCTGCAATATATATATACGCAATATGTAGACAGACCTGCTTTACTGGGTGCAGATACCCAATGGGGAAGTTCTGCTTCCCGTTATTATTGAAATGGTCATCGAGACTGAATTCAACGGTGATGTGGGCTCGGCACAATGAAGCTCATCATCATATCCCTTTATAGTCGAAACAACCTCAACAGATGTTGTGCTGTGAAGTTAACCAATATCTAGCCATGTCCTTGAGACGTCAAATAACTAGTAGTAGAGCTCCTGGAAAGTCTGCCATGCCTGGCTGGTTTTATATTAAAAGGCACTTGAAAAAGAGTTCAATACACGGCCATGACGGCATACAAGTAAACTACGTAGCAATCTTAAATGCAGTGAATGTGATAATCACAGCCATGGAAAGCCAGCAAACACACACACACACACACACACACACACACACACACACACACACACACACACACACACACACACACACACACACATGGATGATGCACATGCAATAGTGTACTGGGCATACCTCGGACATGTCATGTTTAAGCTGGAAGACACTGTGCGAATCTCTCTGAACATCTGTCGCAACGATTCCTAAAGTCTGAAATTGTAAAAGAACAGACAGTAGAAAGCAATGCACATCAAACAACCCTTCAATGTAAATACATTAAATTTGTGCACTCGGGCAATTTCTCCTCTCCAGAAACTGGCATGGTGTGCTTGAGAAGGTGTAACCGACTTTACTGCATCCACCGTGATAGCTGATATGCTTGCAAATGTGTGACCAGCTTACATGGCAGTTACATACATGATACAGCCATAGCATGGCACACGGGATGTGTGCGTAGCTTACCCGACTGAGGCATTTCGTTTCCTTGCACAGCTGCTGAATGTCCTTATCTGAATAATGATGTATGCTCTCACAGAGTGACTTCTGCTCTTTCACAAACGCCCTGCATCAAGAATCACACCGCAGAATAGATAGACATACAATCTACATTAGGTGGAGATTGGCAGACAACGGAGACTAATCTAGCCAGCTTAACCCACCAAGTGAACACGGAGATGAACACGTATACACACAAACACCACATACTCAATCTCTGGACAGCTAGCTCTTACAACCAAGCTAACACACACAAACACCACGTAAACCATTGAAACCAAAATGCATCAGAGCTGGATTGAGCAGCTCGGACCCACTACCACATGCTCACAACGCACACAACACAAGATAATCACCAAGTATCAGTATACAATCAGAGTATAGGGTGTGTAGCTGCCACATTGTGAGCAGTGCTACTGTCAGCACAGTACCGTATTTCCCCGTAAGTTAGTACGTACTAACTTTCGAACTTAGCAGCCACATGAGTACTAACTTTCGGGGATGGTTCTATCTTTCGGGGAGTACTTTTTTATCGGGGGTAAATGACACGAAGTGGGAAGCCTGCGCAACTCTAGTGTCCGTGCATATGATGTATGTACTGTACGGTGTCTGTACATGTAGGACGGGTACGAACTTACTCTCTTTTGGGGGAACTGTCTTTCGGGGTGATAACCTCGGCAGTGGAAAGTGTATTTTTTATAGGGGGGGGGGGGGGGGGGGTACTAAGTCATTGGGGAGAACTAACTTACGGGGAAATACGGTAGTACTCACGTGAGCTGATTGTAAATATTCGTCAGTAACGGAGGTAGCTCGTTGGACGATGTGTTACTATATCCACAACAGGACACAATCAAAACAACACAAACTTAGTCACATACCATACAGCAGAACACAAATAGAACAAGAGCAATAGCGTCAGGAAAGAGGATGTACCACTTATAGAAGAGAATAGAATGGACAAACAAAAGCGAGGTGAGTGATGGGGTGCATCATCTGTCATCTCCATATACCACCTCCTCACATTCACAAGCAGCAAGTCAATCACTTCCAACTAACATGGCACATTCTATGCATGCACACTAAACCAGCAGCCATCATCCACCATACACACTTACTCTGTTTTAGACTCTGGTACAGAGAGGTGGCGAACAAGTCCAACCACATGTTGATTGCAAAACAAACGCACAAACAACGAACAAACCGCACACATACACATACATGCAGACAAACACACACAGACACACATACACACAGGCAGACACAACACACACAGAGGGCATGGCATACGGGCATAGTCAAGCAGAGTGCACTATGAGCTGAGTCAGCACTGGTGTACAGCTGACGGCAAACTAAAGTCGGCCCTTGCTCAACTAGAACAGAACAATGGCAGCGGTATTCTACCCTGGGTGTTAGAGTCGACGATATACTGTAAACCCGGAATCGTTTGCGCCCGTTTTAGTTCGCAAATTGCGATGATAGACCATTTTGCACCTGCAAACGTTTGCGATTGGAGTCAATTTTGATGATTGACTCGAGTCTACAGTTTAGCGTTTCGCACCCACTTACTTTCGCGATTACACACTTAATAAGTGACTTATCGCGCAAATCACGAACGTTTCAGGATCGCAAAGGTTTCTGGGTTTACAGTAGCTGTTTGGCACATTCTGACGACCAAGCACCCGCCGGTAGAACCTGTACACCCGGGCACTATCATTCCGGTTTTTTTGCACCCGCATGGCCACATCCAGTGGGACTCAAGTCATTAACTTATCAGCCGTTCTGTCCGAAAGGCGCATGGAGCAACGGGCCCCTCGGGAGTAGATGCCGACACCTGAAGGTGTATGTGCACATGATTTGCAGACATCTCTGATGGGGTTGCTGAAGTCCTGGCTACCTGTGCTCGCCGGCTGGCAGCAACAATCGTCGATCCGGTATCTCTGCAGGCATACCTTGCATGTATATTATACATGTGCCGGGTTATGCTGGTTTCTGATACATCTACCACAAGAGATCATCTGTTATAAGCGACGCTTTAGGCTGCACCAAGGGGTGGTGGTTGCTTCTGATAGATTTGACTGTCATTGATGAGTTGGCCATACCAGTGCTTACCTGGAACCACAGCCTTTCCTCCTAAGCCGGTTGTTTTCGTCGTGGAAGTGCCTCCCAGGCCAATACTCGCTGTGGTGGCTGTACCACCAAGTCCGAGACCGGCAGTGGTTGTTGCTGCAGTGCTGCCCAGGGTAAGGCCTGTGGTGGCTGGCTTGGATGTTGCGCCGCCGAGTGCGAGGCCAGTACCTGCCTTTCCCATACCTGGCACGTACACACACATACACATGCACGTACACACACACAGACACACAAGTACACACACATATACACACGTACACACACACACATACAGACATACATTTGAGACAGGGAAAACATTTACAATGTAGCTTATTGCAACCAGCATGGTACAGTAGTTCCAAGATATCCCTGAGCTCGAAGTGAGCCATTCACATACAAAATACTCACTCAACTTAGGCGGAGGCATACTTTCAACCTCCAAACACGTGGCACAATACTTGGTGCAGAACAGCAAGAAATACAAGCTGAGACACAAAGCATTTTATAGTCTCGGGTTTCAGTTCTTACCACTCAAACCACCAGACAGACCTCCAAGACTCAGACCAGCTGCACTTGTGGCTGCACACACACACACACACACACACACACACAAACATGCACAAACATGCACAAACATGCACAAACATGCACACACCCACACCCACACACACACCCACACCCACACCCACACCCACACACACACAAGACGAACAAGAATACAAAGTTCTGCACGCGCACTTGTAACGGCTTGCCTATACACATTAACGGAAATATAGAGCTTCTGCGTGTGGACAACTTAGATCACGAGAATTGCCAAGAAATACAAAGAGAAGTAATGACAGCACACCAGTCACAACAGAAGGTGCCTAGCAAAGAAACACAACTAGAATAGTTTGCTAATCATTGCTTACCTGCACCTGCAGTAGCAGTGGTGCCTCCAAGAGTCAGGCCAGTTGCAGCACCTACAACAGCAAACACAGCAAATACAAACACTCGAGTGCATCAATGACATCATGCAAACACTTGAATGAGTGCACCAATGGCATCATACAAACACTCGAGTACATCAATGACATCAGCGCGCAGAAGCTCAGTAACAAAGCAGTGTTTGTTGTGCCTCTGAAAAGATCCCTCAAAACCTTTTGTTTGCGTGGGTAAACTCTCACACCCGCTGGCCCAGCGAATAAAAGATTTCGGGCATAAACACGTTACTCAAATTTAGTACCAGTAGTTCGAAAGAAGTCGACTAAGGTACATTCCGCATTGACCAATCAATATGGTTTCTTGTTGGTAGGTGTAGGAGAAGCACACACTAGATTTGAATAGAGTACTGCCAACATACCAGTGGCAGCTGTGCTGGCCCCAAGCTTCAATCCTCCCGCACCTACAGACAACACAGAGACGAACAAATCCAAGCATAGAATTATTTTTTAAGGAACAACAAGCATTCCACAACATGCACCAATGCACACGCATGCGGGCGCGCACGCACGCGTGCACACCCACACACACACACATGCACACCCACAAACACACACACACACACACAACATATGAGGAATAGAGTAACATACATACCAGGGGCGGCGGCTGTGCTAGCACCAAGCTTCAATCCTCCAGCACCTGCACACGGCAAAATGAATAAATAACACGGAGTGCAGAACTTCTTGAAGCAACAAGTAACATAGACAACCATTCGACACACATCGGTATACACACAAAATCAGATGAGCCAAAACGAATGCAACCTGGTCAAGGAAAAGTAGAACAGGGTTGCAAACATACCAGCAGCGGCGGTTGTACTAGCACCGAGTGTCAGTCCTCCAGCACCTACACACAGTAAGGGACGAAAAACATCAGATACAGAGAAAATAACAGAACAGTAACCAACTTCCTATTCAAGTATGCATGTACGTGCCCACACATTCTCTCTCTCTGCTCTCTCTCTCTCTCTCTCTCTCTCTCTCTCTCTCTCTCTCTCTCTCTCTCTCTCTCTCTCTCTCTCTCTCTCTCTCTCTCTCTGTCTCTCTCTCTCTCTCTCTCTCTCTTTCTCTCTCTGTCTCTCTCTCTCTCTCTGTCTGTCTCTCTCTGTCTCTCTCTGTCTCTCTCTGTCTCTCTCTCGCTCAGTTGAACAGCACGACAATGCTCTTCCAATCTCATCCAGCCATTACCTGAATTGAGTGAATGGCCTTAGATGTACCATCTCAAATCATTTGAGAAAATCAGTCACTGCTAGGTGATCATGGCATGACTGACAGCAGTACCCCTAATAGAAAAGAAGCACATACTTACCCAAAGCAGCTGTAGTAGCACCCAGCTTCAGTCCTCCAGCACCTACATGCAGTATAGAAATTGATGAGGCAAAGCACAGAACAAGCTAACACCCTGGACAGAATAATTCATCGAGCAACTAATAGCTGGGTTGGGAGCAGTTCAACACGTACCCTAGTACTTCCAAGTCATACAGTACAGGAGGGCTGGAGTTCTCTGCAGACGCACCTACAGTACACAAGTCATTACCCTATGGTAGAAGGACTAACTTACTTAGCCACAACACACACACACACACACACACACACACACACACACACACACACACACACACACACACACACACACACAAACGAGTGAGCAAGCTAGCTTACCGCCTAGGCCTCCAGCTGCTCCAATTCCACCGAGGCTGAGACCAGTACCTGAAGCACGACAAGATCCATGAAAGATAGGTAGCATAGGCCATCAATTCGCACCTCATGATTCGATTCCTGGTGGTATCATTCAAGTTTCTCTCCAAACAATTTAATTTCCCCTGTCCAGTTTATGAAAGGGTAACACTTCTGTCCATCATAATAAGCTCCATGAACGCATTGGAGACACAAGGTCGGCCATGAGCAATGTGCTCTTGCACACAGTCAAGTGGATTACAGCACGAAAAATGACTGGAAACGAGTCACGGCGGAGTTCTGGTAAAGATGAACACAGTGGAGAGTTATGAGTTACGCACTACTGCTTGCTAACACATTGTACATGACATTGCGCACATACAGCTGACAAGAGAAAACAAAAACAGACAATCAAGCAAGCGAACAGAATATAGGCATGGTGCACAGTCTTTCACTCAGGACTACATGTACAGTGACTATTCAAAGTGAATTTGCTGCTAGTCTGAGCAGAAGAACTATACACACTACATAACACAATAACACTATTATAGTCCATACCTGCGGCTGTCGTTGCAGTGGACGCTCCACCAAGGGTTCCACCGAGGGCGAGACCAGGTTTTGCACCAGCTGCAGAAAGATGAAAGGAGCATGAACCCAGGTTTAGAAAGAAACTGCCAGTACAGGATAAACGGGTGAGAGCCAGGTGCCTAAGTTAAGACAATCTGTAACTTGGCCTTGGACTCAGCGGTATTCCAAGCATGAAACGGATACTGTGTATTTCGCAAAGAGAAATGGCCAGCCGACGTGCTGCGCGCATTGTTGCTTAGTCGGCTCAGTGCAGCGGTGAGAGGATGGTGGACGCCTAGCACAAACATAAGCATTGCTTGGACATGATCAGCTCACGTCCTGAAGAGCATGCTACAAATACAGCTGCACTGCAGAACATCCCCACGACACTACAGGCTGAAGTTCTGCTAGGAAGAATAGCCACCCGCCAATACAACGGTTTTGATGGGAACCCAAAAAATAATGAACAGAAGTTGAAAGTCAGTGTGTGGTAATGACACGCTTAGCCAAAGCTACTCTACATGCACGTGTCTGCAACATACGAGTAGCAAAGTTGTAACTTGTACAAGTACATACAGGTTTACTCCACAGTTAGGCCTTGAAATGACACGCTCAAAAGACATACCTAAGCCAGCAGCTGCTGTACCACCTCCAAGTGTCAATCCACCACCACCAACACCTCCGAGTGACAAGCCACCAGCACCACCTGAAGTAGCAGCAGCGGCAGCAGCAGCAGCAGAGTCTATTAGCATTCGTTAGTGATATGTACCTTGCACGGTCAATGCGCCTTATTCGATCACACTGCCCTATTCAACCTGCCTGGGGATACTGCATGTACTACACAAGTAACATACAGTGTTATACTACAGGAAACTGACAGATAGATAGATAGATAGATAGAGAGAGAGAGAGAGGGAATAGCAGTGAGCAAGTGTATGTATACGTGTGCATTTACGTGTGTGCGTGTGTGCTTAAAGTAGCACGATCGCCCCAACTGAGGTGACTTGGATACGTGCTACATGTAGTAATTGGCAGCATACCTAATGCTGTGGCAGTTGTTGCCGCTGCTGTGGTGGCAATAGCACCAGTTTTGAGACCAGCCCCACCAAGTGACAATCCACCACCTGCAGAACATAGAAGATGGCAGTACACAGTGTGAGGGTAACAGACAGACACACACATACACACACACAGACATGCACAGACAGACAGGCACATAATACACACACACACATGCAGACACAATGTGCATGTACAGTGAACTTGGCTAATAACGACTGCGGATACAATGACAATTCGCGAATAACGACTATCTAACTGTAATACATGTACATAATTATAATGAAACTTCGGGTATAAGGACACTTTTCTGATGCCCCGCCGAGTGTCGTTACATGCAAAGTTGACGTAGATAGAAAAGGGGAATACAGGAGGTACAGTGCTCATCAGTGACCCCCCCCCCCCCCCCTTTCTCCCCCTTGTCCTGCCATGAACAAAAAATAACAATGCATTCAAGCACAGCCTTGTGTTTGTAGTACTAGGATCATACAACGCCTGGGGCTAGGTTAAGCTGTCACCGTCACTTAATCATGGAGACAATATTTACTGACGAGCACAGTACATACCAAGCGTGGGCGCAGCAGCCGTACTGCCACCAAGTTTGAGGCCACCACCAGCTACACAGCACACAATAAGACAAACAATAAAATTAATACTAGTAAACGTTTTGACTTTACCGGTAGTGCAATGTGTATGCCTATCGGAGAATCAGCATACTTAGTTGCTGCTGCGATCAGTCCAAACAGAGCCAACGACAGCCAATAGAGATCAATTTTCCGAGTTGTGACAACTTTTATAAAGCAATGAATGAAACAGCACCAAAAGTGCTGGTCTTTTTCCTGGACCTGGACGGTAATCTCTCCCCACAGAGTACTCTTGATATCCACCGAATCGTTTTCATGGATATGCAGTCAAGTCAGCGTGAAGTTACGTATCAAAAAAAGACTGAAGTAAACAACTTCAAAGCAAGCTGTTCCACGACACAGTACTACTGCACAGTGAAACCAGTCTAAGACGACCGCTCAAGGGACCGTCAAAACGTGGTCCCCATTACCAGGTGGTCTCCTTATCCAGGGGCATTTGACTGGAAATAGGATCGCTTGATCCTGGTTTCAGTGGTCTTCTAGGACAAGTGGTCGCCTTGACAGGTTTTATCGTAACTGTATAGTGCAGACATCTAGCTTACCTGCACCACCGCCCAGCGTTAGACCTGCGCCGGCTGTAGTAGCAGCAGCAGCAGCACCGCCTAGTGCAAAGCCCGTACCTGCTGCAGGAGCAGCAGCAGGAGCAGCAGCACCAACACCGGTCAAGCCTCCTGCAGCAAAATATCCCAGAGGCAGACCCGGCAACCTTAGAGTATCAAGTAAACACAAGCTACATTGTACATGTATCCGCCACCAGTGATTCACACAACCCGGACCACTAACATCTGCACATGACTCCTAATGAAGGTCAAAGGATCTTCAAATCCTTCAAAACTGCTGGAATCCAGGGTACACATTAAAATCTTCAACGATGAGTTGACACCGGCAACACTGGATATCAACACCGGATTCAGCCAAGGGAAAATGGCGAGGCAAGCTTGTTCTACTACATTCCTTACCTGCACCACCCAGTGAAAGACCGGCTCCGGTAGATAGTCCACCTGTTGACAGACCTCCTCCTGCTGTTGCACCTTCAATGAATAAGAGGAGGAGGAAAGGGGAGGTTAAAAAAAAAGAAAGGAAGGAGAAATAAGAGCACAGAATGAACCGCCATGATCAGCCCTAGTATCTATTCTGTCTATTCTAGCGTGCCGCAATGCAGACAATACTGAGCATCTGCATTACTCCTCGAAACAAGGCAAATGGAACAGCAGCGTACACACTGCAAAGCACACATTTGAAGTACTAGTAGTGCACGGTCTTCGCTGAGGCCACATATGGGCGTTACCCCCCCCCCCCTCCCCCCGAATAAACGTTGTACCCCGTCATAACATCGTGTGTTTGAATGCAGAGGGTGAATCCTATCATTGCATTATACCGTTACGCTTTGCATCTGTCCGCGAGCCATGAGGCCCCATGAAGAACAGGCACATCTTCCATACAGAGTCCGTGTCATGCAATTATTCTACATGTTACACACCTCTGGAAGCATGGATGCAGTGAATGGGATTTTCGGTCTTTGACCACTTTGGTGGGACTGATCTCTTCACCTCCCACCGCTTTAGGAGCTGCATCTGCGCCTTGATCCTTGAAGAGTGGTGGCGCTCCTACGGATGCGGAAAACTTGGCCTCTAGCCGAGTCTGACGCGAGCCGTGGATTTTTTATTATTTTTAACACACCTTCCCCACCCTCCTTTGATTTTGACCTGGTTAATTCCCTGAAGGGTAGCAGGTTCCACCATCGCATGCACCCCCCCCCCCCCCCACACACACATTGACACAGGCTTACCTCCAAGGGTGAGACCGGTAGCAGCAGGCTTCCCCCCTAGATTGAAGCCCGTGCCAGCAGTGGTTGCTCCAGCACCAGCACCGCCCAACATCAAGCCTCCACCAGCTGAGGCACCGCCACCTAGAGCACCACCCAGTGATAGTCGCCCAGCACCTACAAATAAACATCGGCACACACGTATACATACACGTACACACATACACACACACACACACACTTGTACTTGCTCATTGCCAAAACTGGTCACATGGGTCTCCCCGGGAGAGGGGAGAGAGACTCTAAAAAGGAATTTTGGAAAGATGACTCAATTGGCTATTGAACCGCCCAACGGCCGACACCCCCTGAAATCCCCAAACTATGGGTGGACTTGGAAAGGATCCCACTTATGGGCTCACCACACCTCAGTAAGTGGGTGAGGACAAGGTGCAGAAAAAGGATAAACGGCATCAGGGTATCCGCCCCGGGATCCAACTGCAGTTACCCCTGCCCCCAGTGAAGGTAATACGTGCTACTAGTGTGGGTGGCTAAACCATAGTGACCTCCTGAAAATGCCGGGAAATTTAAAATTTCGAATTTTCCATTTAAAATAATAGTTCACGCACTACACGCAGCGCGTACTATCAACAACTGACACTTTTGCTGACGTGAAAAGTATAATCGTGAGCACAAGGGCCCCAGCCAAGTTCAAAAATCAGTTGCACGCACGTGTCCAAGTTAATCGTATGCGAGTAAATACTAAATATCTTGGAAAGGGTACGATAAAAGTGAGTTTTCACGTGGCGTGAATGGCCTATTACAGGACTGCGGCTACATTCCGTACCTGCACCACCCAGTGAAAGACCGCCTCCGGTAGATAGTCCACCTGTTGACAGACCTCCTCCTGCTGTTGGAAAGAAAAGAGCAAGAAAGGGAGGGGAAGAGAGAGAGAGAGAGAGAGAGAGAGAGAGAGAGAGAGAGAGAGAGAGAGAGAGAGAGAGAGAGAGAGAGAGAGAGAGAGAGAGAGAGAGAGGAGAAAGAACAGCAAACAATGAACATGAGTATCTGCATTACTCCAGATAACGAGGCAGACAAAAAAAACTGAAGAATACACACTGCCATTCAAGTTGTTGAACAGGACTGGGTTTTTTGCTGAGGGTGCAGCACACACAGCGGTGCTGCCCCCCCCCCCCCCCCCCCCCCCAGGGGTTACACCGTCGCATGGGCAACGCACACACATTGTGTCATGCGTCGTATCCTTCTATGAGGCATACAGCATATCCAAAACTCTACAGACCCTGAAATTACATGTAATACATGCTTACCTCCTAGGGTGAGACCGGTAGCAGCAGGCTTCCCACCTAGAGCGAGACCTGCGCCACCAGTGGTTGCTCCAGCACCACCACCGCCCAGTGCCAGGCCTCCGCCACCTAAAGCACCGCCGAATGACAGTCCTCCGGCACCTACACCCACCAGAGCATCGGCACACACAGGCAAACTGACTGGCTATAGGGCTGGTAAAGGGACGATGCATGCACTCCAAAAGTTAACTGAACACTCTCTCTCTCTCACTCTCTCTCCTTCCCTCTTCCCCCAACACACACAGACACACAGACACACACACAGACACACACACACACACACACACACACACACACACACACACACACACACACACACACACACACACACACACACATTGCGAGCTAAGGAAGATGCATATCTCCCGCTCATTTTGATTCCAATTGGTTTGAGATCTTCTTCCACACGTCATGCACCATGTGGATTCAAAGAGTGTTGGACTGAGCAAAGCAAGATATTGCCGGTAAAGTAAAGAGCGAGTACAGGACATACCGTAGTGTCTTGTATTAAAGCCTGTCTCATATAGAAGCCTGTTTTGAATATGATCCTGATTTTCAAGATACACTGTCGGCACATAAGCCTGGTTTTAGTGTTGACATACATAGAAATACCTGTCTTGTATAGAAGCCTGTCTCATATAGAACTTATATAGAAGCCTGCAAAATTTCCCCCAAAAGTCATATAATTAAAGCCACGGCTTTTATACACGACTTTACGGTAGTCCACAGTCCATTTCAAAACTATAGACGCGTACCTAGGCAAAAACCGTTATGCCAGCATCTATACCACATAAAATCTGTGATCACTTTGTGCATAATTTTTTCCAAATTGGGCGTCTGTTATCCAATCCTTTAGAAACTATAATGAGAGTAATTGTGGAGCGATCCTGAGCAATATTCCGAAAACTATTCTCAAAAAGTTCCAGCCAAATTTGAAATATTTCAAAAACCCTACGCGTCTATAGTTTTGAAATGCACTGTACACAGTATCTGAACACACGATATATGCCAGCTCACCTGCAGTAGTGGCAGCAGTGGAAGTACCTCCGAGACTAAGGCCAGCACTGGCTGCACATGGAATGATGACATTCAACCAAATAATGAAGAGTAGAACGAGGACCGTCTTCCTAGACGACCAATCAGCCACGTCCCCACTAAGGGCCTTATCAGAGTTCAAAACCCGCTCAAGTGAAATTTTACTACTCTTTGACGACGCACTGAATGTACTCTAAACAGGTGCGAACAAAAATGTGTTCGCACAGTGCAGATCCTGAGCCCTGCAGAAGATGTACTGTACGCGGTGTACAACTAACAGCTACACATTTGAAGAAAAAAGTGTGCGTTATTTGCCTCCCGTTAACTTTGATATGTACGATTTTCCTTTGTCCACAGTTGGCTGAACCTTAGGCCCTATAAAAACCCAAGTTCAATTTATCATAGGTACCGACAAGGGGCTGCCATGCACCAACCTATAATTAATGAATACTGGGGAAGAGCCATGTACTTGGTTGAGTGTGGTATGTGCCTATTGACCAGGTTTTGATATTTGTTACAATGTCAATGGTCCCTTCAAAATCCGGCACCATTTGTGCTGCGGAAATTTTGCTGGATTCAGGAGGGTACTGCATTAACAAAACCTGATTTATTGGTGCAGGGGGCATGAATAGGACATTTTGGTTACTGAAAATTATGCTGGTATATTGAGGGTGCTGGTAAAGTGCTTGGTTAACCCAAAATCGCCCCATCCCCCGCCTATCAAGATACTAGACACTAGATAGATGCTACCATCCACCAAACAGCAATACAGATAATATACTAGAAGCTTTTGATAGATAATACACTTTTTAAAACATGGAAAACAGTGGGGAACAAGTAATTAGTTATGCGTTAGAGTCCACCAACTACATGTATACTGTACCAGATTTTGAACAGTCAGACATGCACAGCCATGTCTCACCATCTGAGTTCTTAGTAACTTCTTACTGCACACCTAAAAATGATATCATACTTATTACTTTCGAAGTACAAGACAAGACTCTGAATACCACGCTCGACACCAGCGTAATAGTATTCTAAGCACGTACCTGCGTTGCCTCCTAGACTCAGACCTGTGCCACCAGCGAGCCCACCTACAGCACCAAAACTCAGCTGTCCTCGATTATCCATTTTAGCACCACATCCAGTCAACGATACAGATGTCCGAACGTCCTCACTACCAGAAAGCTAAAAGACTTTCTTTCTACAAAAAGTGCGTTTCAAAAGTAGTGCTCAAACGGGTACCGCGTACCATGAACCAAGACTACCCTCCAAGAGTACAATCATCTTCATACAGCATGCATAAAGCATGCAGAGTGTGCAACTCGGCATCCGCATAAAACCGCTTTCACGGCGAAGTAATTAGTTTTGTTTTGTTTATTATGTCATCATGAATCATTCGCTTCCACGACAGTTCGCAGAAAACATTTCGACGAACGTCTGTTCGTCCCCAAGCCATTTCGTTGACTGGCCCATTTTTTTTTGGCATTTAAGGTGGCTGTCCTTTTCGCCGTGTGAACCAGGGAGTAGTACAATACCGGTATTGTACTACTCCCTGGTGTGAACTTCCCTGCGGAGGCCCAATACAAAGTCAATGTAAGGGGATGGGAGGAGAGAAGGCCAGCGGAGAGTCAAATTCAGAAGAGGGAGGAGAGAATAGCTAAAGTACACGGTTACTGAGCGAATTCAAACAAACCAAACAAACAGCAAAACAAGTACAGTGCGTATCAGTTATAGCGTGGTCGTGTAAAAGAATATACTGCCTACAAGAATGAACTCTCATGTTTTCATAATCATAACATGGATTTCATGTGCACATTTATTCTTACAAGCAATTTTATCGTACAGTAGAATAATTATATCGGTCCAAGAATGGACTTTGTGTAGCGAAACATGCCAGATCACAGGATGATCAGTACAAAGGATATCGCCTGTACTGTAGTAATAACATCGGCGTCCAAAGCAGTTCTGATCTGACTCGCGTTGGGTCGCGTAGTGCTGCAGGTTCAACTATTGTGGTCATGTAACTCATGTTGCCACATGGTACGCCTATGTCAGTATGTGACTGTGACCAGCCGCATGCACAGTAGCACGACCTTGTATGTACGATGATCTTCCTGCCTTTGCGCACATGCACATGATATGTCACACTTGAGTTATCGTGTGTAAGAAATATCGGAAATAAGAATAGAAAGTCGTTTTTCAAACACCCACGCTATAGCCGATACCTACTGTACACAGCTCACGAGAATAAAGAGGACTGGAGCACAGAATTGAACTGCTGAAGTACACAGCTCACGAGAATAAAGACAGGAGCACAGAAATGAACGGGGGGCAGTCTACGAAGTGGTGGTACCATCGGTGCATGCACCACGGTACATTATCATAATTATCGGCTTTGCAAAGTTCGTGGGTACTGAATACCATGGTATGACCAACTGTGTAGCAGTCTACAACGTGTAGGGAATGGCAGCTCGGCGGAATGCTGGGATGTTGCCCATGGCTCGCACCGTGTCAGGTATGGTTCCATAACAGGCAACCGCGAGATGCCGGTCGGCATTGGCCTGCTCGGCTTCTGGCTATTGGTTGTTGCAGGCCCAGACTGCGCTGCAGCGCTGAAGGCGAGTTGCTCCGCAGTTGAGGACAAACAGTGCCTGCAGAGCAGGACTGGCACGGTTATGAACGCACCGCCATACCAGCACGAGCAGTTTCTGGCGATATACCTCGTCCACGCGATAAACAGAGAGCCTCTCCAAGAGGTCGCTGGCCCTGGTAAATCGTGGTCGTCCGAACACCGCCCTTGCTGCGCGGTTTTGGGCCACCTGCAAGCGGTTTAGCTGGTTGTGGGTCAAGCCAGAGCCATATGCTGACGATCCATAATATCAAATCCGGCATGATGACAGATAGGAAGTACTTGCTTCGACTAGCTAGAGTGAGGCAGCGTCGCGCCCGCCACAGACTACCGATCTTCCTAGCAGTGCGTGAGATGCACCGGTCAACTTGCGGTTGCCAGGCCATTCGTTCATCGATCAAGATGCCGAGGTATTTCGCGCTGGTGGTGTGCGGAAGGACATCATTTCGACATCGTACAACCACGTCCGGCTGCTGCCCACTGCTGCTGGTAAAAACCAATACATTGCTCTTCTTTGCATTTAATACAAGACCACGAGCGTCCAGCCAACTTGAGAGGGAGGTAACCGCCAAGCTGAGCGCATCAGACACCTCTTGCGCTGTCCGTCTTGCACATGTAAGGGCGATGTCGTCCGCAAACTGCAGTGATGATGCCAGCGCAGATTCAGAGGGGACATCTCTGGTGTATATGGAGAACAGCATGGGTCCTAGTACAGAGCCCTGCGGCACACCACAAGTGCACAATACAGTTCTGCCCAGTCGGGAGCCCATACGAACGCGTTGATGGCGCCCAGACAGATAGTCCCGAAACCATTTCAGGGCTGTGCCGAAGATACCGATGCTGAACAAGTCCTGGATGAGGGTGGCATGCTTCACCTTGTCGAAGGCTTTACTCATATCTAACAGGCATGTTGCTACAACAGAACCATTGTCTCGGGCTTGGAGGACGGTGTACGAGAGCAGTGCCAGTGCATCTTCGGTCGAGTGTCCAGGGCGGAATGCAAACTGGGTGTTAGGGAGAGCTGGGTCGACGAAGTCAACCAGGGCTTTCTGCACCAGCTTTTCGAGTAGCTTAGAGATCACGGGTAACAGCGACACAGGGCGGTAGTTTGTGGGCACGGATGGGTCTCCAGCCTTGAACAGGGGTGTGACGTGGGCTAGCTTGAAACCTCTTGGCACTTCCCCGCTGGACAGGGACGCATTAAACAGTGTGACCAGTGAAGGGGCAAGGATATCAGCGCTATGTTTCAGTACAAAACCGGGTATGTCGTCACTTCCTGTGGCCTTGGTCGTGTTGATTGATCGTAGTAACCGCTCAACTTCCCTGACAGTAACCAGCGGAAAGGAGATGAGACATTGCTGTGGGGGTGGTCCGCTTGGTATCTGGAGACTTTGCGGCCGGCTGGTGTCCGTGATAACCTTGTGGAACGCGGTAGTTACTGCATCCATAGGGCATGCGGGCTCCTGGTGTTGACGGCTTCGTCCTGTGACCTGATTAATAACCGACCACATTTGACGAGGATTAGAGTTATTCGCACTGCACTGGGTGCGGAAGTACTCATTGCGTTTTCTGCGGTACGCATTTGAGCATGCAGATCTGGCTCGGAACTGCATAGGTCAGCTCAACGTTGTTCAGAATCTCATAGCATTCTATTGCCTTCAAGCACGTGTTATCTGATCCAAATCTCCACGATGTAATTGTTGATAGTTTACAATGATCCTTCTTTGCTTTCTCTGTTGCCGCCTCGCAACATGTAATCATCCCCCGGGCTATGTCCCTTCATTTTCATCTATGTTTGACACCTGTGTGTGTGCACTGGAAACACCACTATTAAAGTGGTGTTTCCAGTCTTCATCTAAATCAAAGTAAATTCCTGTAGGTAAGAGGTGCTTCTGAAGCATGGTTTGAGTCAGGGAGTAGTATTGTATTACTCCCTGGTTTGAGTGGTTGTCCAACACGCAACAGGCCAGGCGATGAAAAGACAACTCGTCTAAGGGAGAGTCGACGCCTTGGCGCTGATAGGTGGAATTCTCTGCCTGTCTCGTGTCGTCAGGTTGAGCATCTATCCGTTTTTGTTTCGCTCTGTAAAGAGCACTTAGGGTTCCCCGGTGTAACGAGACGGCAACGTCTGTTGGGCCTTCCCTATCAAAATAATAAAATCTACTACTACTACTACTACTACTACTACTACGAAAAGACCAGTCGTCGAACAAGGTTGTCGGCCAAAATGTCAGACGGCGAAAAAGGCTGTCGACATCAGGGAGTAGTATTTTACTACTCCCATTTTACTACTCCCTGGTCGACATGTTGCATGTCGGCGAACGGGGTTGTCGTCGAACAGGTTTCGACGAACTGTCGTTCGTCCAACAGAAGACTCGATCGACCCACCATCAGAGAGTCGTCAAATAACGACTCCCTGCCCATCATACCAAGACTGCAAGAGTACATGTGGGTTATGTACTCTTGATCATACCATGTACCGCTACCCGGCAGGGAGTCGTAAAATACCGGTATTTTACGACTCCCTGCTACCCGGTATCCCCGTGATGATACCAGGGAGTCGTAAAAATACATTTTTTACGACTCCCTGCATGAATCCTAGGCCTATACTATTATTACTTTTTTTTTAAAATTATTTGTACATATCGTCGATGGCGCCATGGCGTCACATCATACACTTCCGCAATTCCACCTCTTGCCAGTCTTGACAACCAGAGTCTTGGCCAATACTAAGGTGGCGGGGAGCACACTATACTCTGTAGTACAATACTAAAGTACTCCCTGCTTACTAATACCAAGAGTATTATATACTCTTGCTAATACTAGGCCCTATGACTAGGCTATAATGTCAGTGGTATTCACAAGGTTTTGTTGTGTACAAAAGGAAACGGAGCGTCTCTGTAAATCTGTATCCCTGGTAATACAATTGTTGGCCTTGAGGCGTAAGTGGTGCTCTTCAGACACAATCTTCCTCAGCCTATTCAAGCTCAACTGATAAGGGGTGAATTATAAAATACTGTGTCACTGATCGAGTAGGGAGTGGTGCTTTCTTGCAGGTTTGCCGAGCCGAAGGTTCGATGAACTTCTTGCCAGGGTGCTCTGGATAGCAGTCGAGTGAGTCACTCGGTCAAGTGCCAAGTCAAGTCGGCGGGGAAAGCGTGAGCAACCAGCCTTCAGTTCTAGCTCAAAGAGTGTTCCAGGATCCTAGTGTCATGCTTTGGGGAGGGGGGTTCGAGCGCTGATTGGAGGAGGGCTGTCCGGGTCAGATTGGCAGAATGAAACTTTGGCTTTCTTCTCTGTTGGTTTGGGCCTAGCACTTGGTGGGTGAGTGGTATAGTATATCCGAGGTAAACTAAAGTTGAGTCTTCTTTCAAAGTGCTCGTACATTTATAACAGGGTCCGTCCAGTTTGACATTAGTTCAGCCGTCTACCGTGATCAGCTTGCTATGATGGTCAAAGTGGGCGGATAGTTATTAAAAAGACGGGAGCGTCTACATGTCAGCTGTAAGCATTTTCTCTATACATGTATATGTACACATACAGCCAGTTGAACCTCTTTTCAGATGACGGAACATGTTTGTTTGTCTTGTTCGGAGTGTATTATCATACAGATTGTATTGACGTGAACGTGCATGCCGCCAGTGGCACATGTAAAGCTTATACTTAGTATTCACACAATTTCACAGCATACGGAGCCAGCAACAGGAAGTACAATGGGCAATGACTTCATGTGAGTCTTGTACGTGTAACGTTAGTGTGCTCTACTGCGTGTAGGCCGCTAGTTAGCTATACATGTACACATGCATGACCAGACTGTGCATGTGGGTCACACGTTCACCTTGCACACTGATTTGTTCAAATTACGCTTGAAATATACGGTTCGTCTTCATGAAAGTTCGCTGGACAGGGGTTCATCACACACTTGCCAATTGTGACTTGATCTGGCCCGCCGTACGACTGGATCTAGTTCATACAAATGGTAAGGGTTCCTTTAAAAGAGCGTTCGTCCTAAAGAAGTTTGACTGTACCGTTGGATTACCTTCGACACCAGACAGCTCTTGTGGCAGATGCAGCACAATGACATGTTGTAATCAAACTCTGTGACGCTGTCAGGTTTAGCATCGTATACCGCTGCTCCACACAGGTAAGCAGCATCCATGGTTGACTCTAGCTCTGTTACAGGTGCCAATGGAGCTCGGAAGTTGACTGAGTAGAATAGTGGGTCATTCTTCAAGATATCACTGAAGGTCCATGGTGATTCAGAATTCCGGTTCTGTGATGCTGTGCTAAGCACATGGCCACAGTATTTCGGCCACGGGTAGACTTATAGTGGTCAAGATTGAACACCACACTCTTTGACACGACGGCCCGGCGAATACCCGAGAGTGAAACTGTTGGGACCTCCAGCAGAAGGCCCGGCGGAGGGATATCCATTGGATTGACACTGTGTTGGTTGGCAGCACCAGCTATAATGAAATTCATCAGCAGACCTTACGACACTGAGTGGGAACCGGACATGACAGATGCTCAAAAGCACATTCAGCGGATCGGCACTGCACCGGGTCAACAACACAGCGAGCAACAATGATGAAATTCATTAGTAGATTTTAGGAGTTGGAAGCCATCGGCACACTTGAAGACAGACAGACGGTCGGTGTGGGCACATCCAAGGCAAGGATCATCGGAGGCAGCACCGCCAGCCAGGCAGGTCGATACACAAGTGGCCCTAGCACCTAACATCTGCACAAAGCAGCAGCGACAAGCCGTGACTCCCAGTGCAGGCAAGTAGCTGCCTGGCAACGGAGGTCCAGAACTAGTGTCCATGCACGGGTTGACACTGCTTCTTCTCCCCATGCGATCACTTCCCAGCGGACGAATTTTCACGGATCATCACTGTGACATTCTGGCTATCAACTTTTTCTCCTGCTGTGCTTTGACCCGCATCCTAAAGCACAGAGTGACAACAGCATACAGGAACACACCATGGATGAACAATAAAAGTTTATATTTGCGAGAGGAGGGATCTTCTTTCAATTTCTTTGCATTTACACTGCCATCATAACAATGCGAGCATGATCTGAATGTGTGATTTAAAAGAAGTGATTCACAAGCATGTACATCAGGGTTCTATCCAGGTAAAATAGTATTGGGGGAGGGGGGGGGGGGGGGGGGGGAGCATGGGAAACACAGTTACCCAGAAACCCATTTTTCCATGTTCCAAAATTGTCTTGCCATCCAAATGCAACGTATGGGGTGATCCCCCCAAACTTCACCCTTCACTTCACCCCGGACAAATGTGCCTTTTGGAGCCCTCTAATAGTGACTATTGCGGACTGCATTTTGGTAATATGGCCTGAAAAACACAAAACTTCAGAAAATGAGTACTAGTACGGTGCGGCACTTTTTCACGGGGGGGGGGGGGGGGGGGGCGCAAACAGAGTAGGGAGACGCTGCCTGTCTAAAGCTAGCACTATTGAAGGCATGATTACATGAGCAGCGAGCAGTGTGAAAGCAAGTGTAGATTGGAGAAATCATTTGCAGCAGGTGAGAAAGGTACATGTATGTGAGTGGGTATGCGGGTGTTGGCATGTTTTAAGTGAAGAGTGTGAGTGCTGTAACGAATTCTGTTGGTTTGCATAAATCTTTGTGAAAGATGTTGCGACATTTCTGGTACCATAAATATCTTTCCTTTGTAGTCCAACTCTCAGTGTGATGACGGTTTCTGATGATTATTACTGAAGTAAATGAAAATGGCGTTCAAATCTTATGAGTGCGCTCACTTAATTTCATCGATATTAAACTTTGAGGGTTTGCCGTAAACAGGTGTCTGTTTTAACCTGTAACTTACTAGAGACATGGTCTTCCACAAGCCGCAGATGATCCTGACGGTTTCCATATCTTCCTGCACTGACTTGACCTTCTCTCTTATCCATTTTCGACTTTGATCGAGTTCCCGAGACACCATCCGCTCTTTACCCTGTGCCGTGAAGTGAACAAACACACACATCTCAGATCTCTCAGACCTGCCCATCGCGGAAGCGATGATAGCGAACAGCTATGTTAGACATAGCAACTTGTGCTGGGATTACACCATTCAACAGCTTGCAAGGCTGATGAATTGACCGCCACTATTTTTAGCCTGGTATCCACCACACAGCTGATTGAAGTGACTTTTTCTGGCCAGTGAATCCCTACACACATGTGGGTGTGTGCACACACACGCACATACACACACACACACACACACACACACACACACACACACACGCACGTGCGCTCTCATGCCCGCACGCACACACGCACGCACGCACACACGCACACATGTACGCATACCCTCACTGTATAATCGTCTTGTGCGTTGCATTTTACTTCCCAGAAAGTTGCCAGCAAATCGACTTGCAGCTGGATCATCATTGTACCTCACATCCAATGAAGTCAAGCTTCACAGAACACCAGACGTAGGGCTGCTGCCTTGCTTACACAGTGCGCCTTCTGCACTAATCCCGCCAAGAAGAGAACTTGCACGTGATCCCGAGAGCTTGTCGTGATACAGGAAAAACGAAAATTGATTCACATGCCAGGATGCACGTACAGTACCTGCAGTACAAAACAGTACACGGAATGCCACGGTATGCATTTCCACCCCCCAGCCCCCTCATGGCACCGGGACCGTCCCGGGATAGCTCGCGGAATGCCACGGGATGCATTTCCACGAATTTTATTTTTTATTTTTATTTTTTACCTTTCAACCTTGTTGATGGCTTGTTGACTCTTGTACAGGTACATGTACCATGTTCATCCCCATCATCCAAAACGCCCATTGTAAACTCCGCCTCCTCATGCTTCGTATCCACACCGCCAGAATCAGTAATCTCCTGTCCAAGCGCGCCTACGTCGCCAGACTGAAGGCGTCACTCGGATCAAGGATCCAAATGCGTATGTTGTCCCTGCCACCAGGCGAGTCTCTGGTGACTGTCGGCCGCTCGTTTCCGCTGTTAGATTATGGAACGCCCTGCCCCAAGAGTGCAAGTCCCTCGCCTGCCACAGATCATTCAAGAGACTTTTAAAGGTTTATTTTTATGGCTAGCCAGCATCTAGGCTTGGACTTGGAGTCGTGACTCAACTGTGACTCAACTGTGCTTTCTTCTTCTTCTTTTTTTCTCTTTTTTTCCCTTTCTCTTTTTCTTTTTGAGTATTTGCAGTCTGTGTTGTCTGTGTTTTTCTCTCTTTCGTGGAGGCTTGCTTGTTGTATCCTTGGCTCTCGGCCGTTACTTTATCGCCATCATAATATTGGGCACCATTGCCCGTTTGGTCTGCGATACAAAATAAAATTTCAACAACAACAACATAGACAATGCGGTGTATCATCAGCATGCATATTCTTATTTCTCATATTATTCTGTAGCATTAAAATATGGCCTTTTACTGTTTTAAATAGCAATGAAAAATATCAATTGTGCACTCATAATCATGTATAAACAATTAAAATGAAACAATTCCAGAACGTTTTCGTGTGACCATCATCAGTGGAACATCGTCACATAGTAAGAATCACTAAAACAACCAGTTATATAGCTAGAGTAACATGAAAAGAAGCGTGAGAATGCAGCACAGCTAGCGGTTATCATAACGCGTGTAGTGTGAACCTTTGCAGTGTATCTGAGAATGGTAGCAGTAGATGAATGTGGCAGCTGTGAGTGCGTGTGAACAAAAACTGGTGAGTGTGTATTATTTAAAAAGTGTGAGTGCTACAACATTTTCTTTTTGCTTGCATAGAACAGGGTCACGTGTGCGAATATATACAGCTTCCAACACCTGCAACTGCTTAAAGAAACGCGCGCGACAAATAACACTAAACCAGGAATCGTCAAACAACTTACGACAATCCGGACTGGACACCAAATGCTTGTAGATGGCAGACTTGCTCTTGTCGATGTCGAACTCCTCCTCGTCCGTATCACTCTCATCCTCCACTTCCTGCTCCCGCTCACCCTTGCTTTCCTCCTGACCATCCTGTTCATCCCCATCATCATCCTCCATCTCCATCTCCTCATGCCATCGCTTCTTTCTCCTTGACGTGTTCACTGCTGCGCCCGTACTTTCACCTGCCACTACTGGTTCCGCCTTCTCCATTTTTCTCAGTCGTGTCTCCGCTAGTCTCTGGCTTCTCCTCAGATTCGTTTTTCCTCCATTTTCATTTCGTTCTCCTGGTGATCTTTCCGTTACCGCCGTCAGGTTTGTTAACGAACGATCGTCCGGTGGTCTCCCATGCCGTGTTGTTGTCGTCAAGAGTGACACCAGATTCGTGTGTTGCGCTACTGTTGAGTCCGGTGTTGTATCCGTTTCCGGTTGTGTTGTAATACTGACAGGCGTAGTAGTAGGCAACGGGTGTTTTCTCGGCCTCCCACGCTTTGGCCTGCCTGCCCTGCTGCATTCTCACGCTTCTTTTCATGTTCTTTTCATGTTACTCTAGCATGTTACTCTAGCTATATAACTGGTTGTTTTAGTGATTCTTACTATGTGACGATGTTCCACTGATGATGGTCACACGAAAACGTTCTGGAATTGTTTCATTTTAATTGTTTATACATGATTATGAGTGCACAATTGATATTTTTCATTGCTATTTTACGACTGTTGTCTCCTCGTCGGTTATTTACTGTTTTAGGCCCAATTTTCAAAACAATCCCGGGGGAGGACCCCCGGATCCCCCTCTCACAATTTCGCCGCACCAATATTAAACTGCTTCCTACGCCCCTGTAAGTATGGAAGGAGGGATGACACTTTTAGATAACTTTTTTATAGCGTGAACAGTTGTCAGTAATACTAATACGCATGCCTTTGTACAGGTAGAGATCTGTTATAGCGTTCGTGTTTGACGAAGTGAAATTTGATCACTACGATTATCATTACATGCGACTGGACATGGTGGTAGTTCAAAGTATGCAAGTGATAACTTTACAGCTTTGTAGTCATGATGATATACACAAACAGATATGCATCATGTATGTACAATCATGTAAATGCCACACCCAGACTTGTAAACTGTACAAATAACAACAACCTGCATCTACTCTAGTATGACCACACTGCTGGTAGTACACAGTATTTACATAATATCAGTTTCCCAAAGTTTTCCCTGCAGGAACAATCGATTACTAATAGTCTATAAACGATCCATAATGTATGCAATTGAGTGGTTTTGAAGTGAGAATTTGATCACAATAGGCAATATATTGCCATAACCGATTACTATTGTAACCGGTTTAGTTTGAGTGGAAAAGATACTTTTGCTTTTAAATTTTGAAGGCGATAACACTACAGTCCATTTCAAAACTAGACGCGTAGGGTTTTTGAAATATTTCAAATTTGGCTGGAACTTTTTGAGAATAGTTTTCGGAATATTGCTCAGGTCCGCTCCACAATTACTCTCATTATAGTTTCTAAACGATTGGATAACAGACGCCCAATTTGGAAAAATTTATGCACAAAGTGATCACATTTTTTATGTGGTATACATGTAGATGCTGGCATAACGGTTCTTGCCTAGGTACGCGTCTATAGTTTTGAAATGGACTGTATAACTGGTATGTTATTATAGCCGCCATCCCTATAGTCGATCTCTTCCTGTACTCCGTCGAGTTACCCGAGCCGCCCAGCTAGTACAGCTATGATGAGTAAGTGACAAGTAATCGGCATGATCTTTTCACCTTCAAGTCAAAAACATCCTTCTTACCATCAATATGGCGCTGATAGCCGCGGACGAGTCACTGTGATCAGGCTGAGTTGCCTTCATAGGTACGGGTGCCAGTTGCTGCAAGAGTTCAGCATGGTTCGGGTAGAGCAGGCACCTACAATGATGCTTAAAACGCTCCCTCTCCAGCTCCTTCAAACATTCCTTCGCCAGTTTATGCTGTTCGTCAAGCTCAGTTTTAGCACGCTTCAATTTCAACATCAATGACCGGCTCAGCAAGTTTGTCGTAGCCTCTTTCAGCTGCTGCTGGGCATCCTTGAACAGCAGCCGGTCTTGTCTGGCGCTCATTTCGGTGTACAGCAGCTTTTCTTTGCACGATTTCAGCTCCTGGTTGGCCCTGGCTATTCTCTGTTTGCACCTAGCTTCCCTCTGGGTGGCTTGCTGTAGCTGTGCCTGCATCCGCAGTGTTGTGGCTGCATGCAGCTCGTTAGTTTGCGAAAGTCTGCTTATCTCGTCTTTCATTTCAGCAGCACGCCGCTCCTGCAGTGCGCGAATCTCCTGTCGTATGGCTACCTCTCGGTCGAGCAGACTCTCTCTTCCTCCAGCGACGAGCGAAGCAGCCTGCTCCAGCCTAGTTATCTCTTCTGTCAACGCCGAGGCATATTGCTCCTGGAACAAGCGAATCTCCCGTCGAGCTTCGCGGTCCAGCACGCTCCCTCCGCTGACTTTCTTCTCGTCATCCATTCTTGCCCTTGTATGTTCCGCTTAGAAAACGCGTGGCTGACTACTCTTGACTTTGGACTCGGATGGAGAGTCAATTCAAGGATATGAAATAAAAGGAAGGGACCAAACGTTTACATGTTATCCGTTTTTTGTTGCCCTACACTAACGACAAGCAAGATACTTGCGAGTCAGAACGTGCAACAATCAGCACAACAAGGACTGACGTTCAACGACCCGATGTTTAGCTGCATCACGTCACAAGGACTGACGTTCAACGACCCGATGACCCGATGTTTAGCTGCATCACGTCTCGAATGCCCAAACAAACACGGCAACAGCCTTCCAGCTCGGAAGGTTCTAACTACTTATGAAATACCGGTAAGGTAAGATACTAAGAAAGGGGAAGGCGAGCGTACTCAAGGCGAAAATAAGCTAAACATCATAGCGAACTAAGGATGTTAGTTATGACAAGGTGATTGGAAAGACGAAGAATCACGGCACACGACGGCCACAGCTCACTTCGAGTACGTGAAACAACGACCACCCAACTACAAATGTAGAGTACTAGAGAGTCTCATGTTATCATGTTTTTGGAGATAAACAGAATTAGGGGAAGTAACTAGTTACGCAAGCACGGACGAAGTGAGAGAGACCGGACAGCACTATCTCTTCGCAAAACCAAGATTACATAGCCATAATTACTCAATCTGCGGACAGAACTCACGGTTTCGTCCTTTGTAACCATAATTATATACTCTTGCAACAGTTCTGTCCGCAGATTGAGTAATTATGGTTATGTAATCTTGGTATTATTATTATTATTATTGTGGAAGAGAAAAAGACATATGGATACGAGTTAAGAGTAACTCTCCATCACTGTAACATGATACTATATACAGTCAGAAAGTGCAATAACTAGGCACAGAACTGACAGAGTACTGAAACATTCGACGTCCTGACACCTAGCTTCAACACATCTCCGTAGCGCTAACCGACAGCCTTCCAACTTGGAAGGTTCAAGGTTATGGAAAGACCAAAGAGGGGAAGGCAAGCGCTACTCTGTCAGTTCTGTGCCTAGTTATTGCACTTTCTGACTGTATATAGTATCATGTTACAGTGATGGAGAGTTACTCTTAACTCGTATCCATATGTCTTTTTCTCTTCCACATTTATTTATGGCTCAACATCCGAGTTTCAAATTATTATTATTATTATTATTATTTTAACTGGTTTTGATTATTATTATTATTATTATTATTCGGATGTTGAAGCTAGGTGTCAGGACGTCGAATGTTTCAGTACTCTGTCAGTTTTGTGCCTAGTTATTGCACTTTCTGACTGTATAAAGTATCATGTTACAGTGATGGAGAGTTACTCTTAACTCGTATCCATATGTCCTTTTCTCTTCTACAATTATTATTATTATTATTATTCAAAGGATCAGTCGGGGAAGTGAACTGCCTGAAAAGAGAAAAAAACGCCAGACCCACCAGGACTCGAACCTGGGACCCTGCTTCCCCGACTGATCCTTTGAATACGAAGTTCTCCCAATCCTTTCCAAATTATTATTATTATTTTTATTTTTTAAAAGAGGTCGGAGGCGGATAATACTTTAAAACGAAGGTAAGTTATGGGTCGCAAATATCCACGCAAACACACATCCAGTCATAATAAGGCACTTGTCATAAGTATCCGAACGTTTTCGGTCCCTTCTCATCAAGGATTATACAGGGAATGGCTCAAGCTGGAAAGACTAAAACTTATATAGCGTAAAGATAATTAGATAACAACACTCGTGACAAGGTGGAAAATTATCAAGTTTAGCACGACACAAAACTCGAAGGAAGATAATAATAGTGACAACAACATAGTGAGCAAATTAAGTTACATTGTTACCACCTCGACGAGGAGTAACACCAAACAATTGTAGCGACAACACATTTTCTTTCTGTACGCAAAGTTCAGGATCTAACTTACGGATATACAAAGCTTCGGTGACGGGACGGGACATTGGAGGAGACAACACCCAATGGAGCTAAGAATCGCACTTCGTCAATCAAGCAACATCTGTCAGCCCGTACCAATTGTCGTGAGTTGTACAGTGATAATGTTTTCTCAATATTGTCACGTGGTAGATGTGCGTTACATTTGGCTGTGTTAGAAGCTTTGTATATCCGTAAGTTAGATCCTGAACTTTGCGTACAGAAAGAAAATGTGTTGTCGCTACAATTGTTTGGTGTTACTCCTCGTCGAGGTGGTAACAATGTAACTTAATTTGCTCACTATGTTGTTGTCACTATTATTATCTTCCTTCGAGTTTTGTGTCGTGCTAAACTTGATAATTTTCCACCTTGTCACGAGTGTTGTTATCTAATTATCTTTACGCTATATTATAAGTTTTAGTCTTTCCAGCTTGAGCCATTCCCTGTATAATCCTTGATGAGAAGGGACCGAAAACGTTCGGATACTTATGACAAGTGCCTTATTATGACTGGATGTGTGTTTGCGTGGATATTTGCGACCCATAAATTATTATTATTATTATTATTACACCATAGCTCAGTGGTTAGAGCATCGCTAGCTACAAGCGAGGGTCCCTGGTTCGAGTCCTGGTGGTGACAGTCAATTTTTTCTTCAGACTTTTCCCGTTTGTCTCTTTCCCTCAGACTAGTGAAGATTATTATTATTATTATTATTATTATTATTATTATTATATTGAGGGCTGCGTCCCACCCGCCTGTGTGGATTCACAGGAAGAGTGAGTTACGAAGTCTGAAGAAAATGTTGAACGGCCTCTGCTGGGATGACGACTACACCATAGCTCAGTGGTTAGAGCATCGCTGGCTACAAGCAAGGGTCCCTGGTTCGATACGAGTCCTGGTGGTGACAGTCAATTTTTTCTTCAGACTTTTCCCGTTTGTCTCTTTCCCTCAAACCAGGTAATATTTTATGACTTGGGGCTCCCCGCGTGCTAGTTTGTCCGTGAAGTGTGTGGGTACAGTGAGGGCTGCGTCCCACCCGCCTGTGTGGATTCACAGGAAGTGTGAGTTACGAAGTCTGAAGAAAATGTTGAACGGCCTCTGCTGGGATGACGACTACACCATAGCTCAGTGGTTAGAGCATCGCTGGCTACAAGCGAGGGTCCCTGGTTCGAGTCCTGGTGGTGACAGTCAATTTTTTCTTCAGACTTTTCCCGTTTGTCTCTTTCCCTCAAACCAGTTACATGTAATATTATTATTTAATATTATTATTTATTTGAAAGTAGGACGGAGGCAGAAAATATTACAAAAAATGTATTATCTACGCATGCATCTACGCAAGAGTCACCACCAGCCAATTAGGACATGTGTCAAAGTATTGAACGTTTTCGTTCCCTTCTTGTCAAAATACTACAGGGAATGATGGAAATAAGCTAAAAGACTACAACTATAAGGAAAAGAAGTTCAGAAATATATCACTCCAATTATGTGTAGAAGTGACACCAAAAACAGATGTGAAGAATCAAGAAAACAGCATGCAAATCCAATAAGTGACAAAAACGTAGTGACAAGAAAAAGAGAGAAATATCAAGAGATCAAGGGATCCATTCCGCTAGGACCGCTATGCCAGTTTTGTATGTGGAAACCCCCTATATAATAGCAGTTTGGTCTATATTTTTAATCATTCAACATCTACCTTCACTGATGAGCTATGTATTAGCGAAACAGCTGTCTGAAGGAGTTTATCAATATCGTCTACGGAAGTGTCCTCGCAATGGTGATGGTTGTGTGCAGGAGGGTCTAGTCGGCTAAAGAGCGCAGTGTAATTTTGGAGGTGACTCAACATTTTCTTCAATGGCCGAGAGCTCTGTCGCACCCTGTAATAATAATATTATTATTATTGCAAATAACGCTGAGAGACACGAATGCATAAAAACCAGCATTTGCTTCCGGGAAGGATTCACAAACATAAGACCAAAACACCATGGCTCAATGTAACTGCACATACGAAAAGCAGCTTCTATTGTCAAGTTCGAGTGGCAATGGCAGAAAGACGGTAGACTGTTCGTGCACGATGTTCACCCTGCAGGGGATAAGTCAAGGACGAGGCTCGGCAGAGGAAGATGAGTGCCGCGGGGTGCCATTCCACCGTGACTTATCCGCTGCCAACTGCCGCAGCTGATTAAGGCCTCTAAGCGTGCCCAGGCGAATGCCGAGTCGGGCTAGGCAGTCCTGAGAAAGAGCTGAGAGGAGAGTTGTCCTGGGTCGGCCCAGTCGACCGCGCAGGCTCGCGGTGGCTGAAAACTCTAACACGCGCTGTGGCCTGTGGGGGAGAGCTCTTCTGCATTCTCAGTACGTGACCAAGGAACTCCCAACGCCGTTGGTCAATCTCGAGCGAAATTGGTGCTGAGCCGCAGATGTCGTACAGATGCTTGTTGGTAATTGTGTTCTTGGTATTGCGAATCTTGTAATCTTGGTATTGCGAAGAGATAACGTTAGTGCTGGCCGCGGATCCGGTCTCTCTCACTTCGTCCGTGCTTGCGTAACTTCCCCTAATTTTGTTTATCTCCAAAACATGATAACATGAGAGTCTTGGTAATACTACTAGTACAATGTAGAATGGAACTTGTGGTTAACACGGACTCGGTAGTAAATGTAATGTCACACGATGTAGTTCAACGTTTCGCTGACGGCGCATCAGGTGGGCAGATTGGACTCGTGTGGAGCACCAAGGATTAAAATATAGAAAGTTCAGTCATGTTATCCTTGATAGGCGACAAGCCTCTGGGTCATCCTGATAAAGATATTATTATTATTATTGTAGAAAGGAAAAGGACATAAGGATACGAGTTAAGAGTAACTCTCCTTCACTGTAACTGGATAATATACAGTCAGAAAGTGCAATAACTAGGCACACAACTGAAAGAAAGAAATAGCTGAGGTTAACCTTGGTTAACCTTAGATAAGGTTAACCTTATCCGAGTATTTCTTTCAATGGCGACAATGTGAAGATCGGTATGTAGGTAGAACCCTTCAGCACCTGGGCGCACGCATTCGTCAACATGTGCCGTTAAGTTGTGTTCCGCTTGATGCGCGCGATTGTCGTCCTCGCCGTGGTCGTCCTCCAAAATGTGCTGTCCAGTCCATCAGTGGATCTTCCTCTTCCCGTGAAGATGTGACTGCATGCCTGTCCTCCTCTGCGTGTGTAGGACGGGGGCCAGCTGAGAACAGCGGGAAAGATGGTGAAAGACCGAC